TCTGGAAAGAGGACACAGCTACATGGAAGTATGCACAGTGCCATTGAACGAGCCTAGAAGTATGTTCCCGTGTGTACAATTCATGATTGACTAACCATATTTCGATGGCCAGAACAACATCATCAAAAAAGAATCCATTTGTTGTGCAGGAACTCAAAAGACTTTGTTGACTTAGAAGGCCTTTCTAAGCGTATCAAAAATAAAACGAGATACACGAAAAACGAAAAGAAACTGGTTAAAAGTTAAGTGTTTTCGATACCAAAAGGCTAAACCACGAATCCTTGAATATAGGTATGGTCATACCTCAGAATATAAAGAGAAACGTTTTTGGGAGAAGTTTGGGAGAAAAATACCTAATTTAAAAAAAAATAACGCTGCAGGACGCGTATACGAAGATGCGACCTATAAGTTTAAAAAAAAAACAAAATTTATTTGAAGTTATGCAAATCGGATGCTCCGACTTTGTTCAAGACAATATTCCTGAACCAGCACAACAGAAGATAGTGATCCTGAAGTTGACATTTAAGTTAAAGATACTTTAAGACAAGTTTCAAATTACGCCAATCAGTTCAGGGGCAAAATAGGTTAAGTACAGTTTTTTGCATGTTTTTAAATTTTTTAACACTTCACAATTTTTTTTTCTGATTTTTAAAGTTAATTATCTTCACAGTACCACAATATATGTTATTTTATCGGTTATTACATGTTTCCTTTCATGTAGTTGTTTTACTGTAGGCTTAAACTTTTAAACTTAATTTTCACAAAACTAACAAGATGTAACTTATCTGGTTTTGACAGTATACCGACGATATCATACGCTGGGCATTGAAGGACACAATTTTTCACAAAACGTTATTTATTTTAAGTTTTTACAATGTGTGATATTTGACAAAACATTGTTCGGGATGAAGCCCTACATTACATTTAATGCATCTATATTTGGTACACTTGCCACATTTGCTGCACCTTCGTTGTTTTTCCATTTTGTCCACCTTCTTCTTCTTCGGGTTCCTTCTCCTAGCGGAGGTTGGAAATCATCATCGCTATTTTAACTTTGTTGGCCGCATTTCTGAATAATTCTAATGAGCTGCAGCCGAACCACTCTCTCAAATTTCTTAGCCAGGACATTTTGCGTCGTCCAGGGTTTCTCTTCCCTTCTATCTTCCCTTGCATAATCAACCTCAGTAATACGTACTTCTCACCCCTCATTAAATGTCCCAGATATTGAATCTTTCTAATTTTAACAGTTTTTATGACCACCAAATGACCTATATTATCCAAACGAATTTTATCAGCAACATGTTTTGAAGATTTTGGACGTACTTCACGTGGCGTTGGAATATCTGAAGCTATCAGCAGAGCATCCACAATTCACCTGTAAAATTCTAATAAAGAAATTTCCTCTATGTTACGGTAAAGAAGCCACATGTTGACTATTGCCCCATTCAAGCAAAATCTAAATATCGCCCAATACCATTTTTGAGGTCTAATTCGAATCCTATAGGTATACTTCATGTAATTTACTTACCGTTGCACGTCATCCGCGTCATAGCTCGTGAGGTCACATGATACCAACACGAAATATTTTTTAGGCGGTAGGTGTGTTCTTTTTTAGAATCGCTTTGCCGAGTACACTGGCATTACAGCCACTAGACATATTTTATTATATACGTGTAGAAATAATATTTAAAAATTTCTATTAATGTTAACTTAAAGAAATATACAATAATATGTTTCATTTAATTTGTATAAATGCATTATAAAGCGTTTTTATGAAGAGCATTTGTTCGGAACACACTGTAACTGTAATCGAACGAAGGTGATATTTTGGCATACATTTGTAACACTTATTTGACAGTTGCCGTGTTGACACTTTTTGTACTTTATTATTTTGAATTTTAAAATGAATACTTCTTGGTTTATATTTTTACCTATTTAACAAAATCTTTTTAGAACAAAATTAGTGTGTATTATTAATTACTATTAATATTATTATTAGTGTGTGTAATATTAATTTGTTTTGTTGTATAATCCACTTTTGCAATAATTATGTGACCTATTTGATTTAAAATGGATTCAGGATTTTTTTATACTTTGGCAACTACGTCAACTTCGATCTCTGTCAATGATAATGACGTGCAACGGTTAGTAAATTAGATGAAGTATATAAACCTCTTAGCTTATCGAGTAATTCTACACCACCCATTCCATTTTTATACATTTTCACAACGTTTGGTTGAAGGACCGCTATAATTCTTCTGTCTTTTTTGGATCATCTGTTACAGATTCGTGTAGTAAATATTTCTGGAGTTGAAATATTAGTTGCCATAGTAACTTCATTATTGTCATTCCAGGGAACAAGAGTGAGCTGATGTTCTTCGCTATGCAGAGCGTGGGAAGTTACACGATTTTTTTTTATTTCTTTGAGAGTGTATCTTTTGATCTCTCAACGTTGTCGGTAAAGGTAAATATGTAAAAAAATTATCAATGTAGATAACAGATTCTTGTGGTAAAAACCCTGTACACAGTTTTTCGGTTACGGAACTTCCTGACGAGTTACCCTGTAATTTATCTCCACTTCTAGCATAGGGATAAAATTTTGCAAGGTAACCCTTATTGGTCGCAACACACCAAAATTTATATCCGTAAAGGTAGAGTTTTCCTCGAGTAAACTGCTTCATTGAATGATGTCCATAATACGGCTCCATGGTTTCGTCAACTGAGAAACTTCCATTCACTGGCTGGTGGTAATGATAAAAACGTTCATTTAGATGGTCAATTAGGGGTTGAACTTTGAACGCTTTATTAGTTTGTTGGTACAACGTATTATCATTAAAGTGTAAAAATCTATGAATCTGTTCAAATCTGTTTCGACTCATAGTATTACTAACTATTCCTATTCATTCCCAATACAATCTCCTAGAAGGCGATGGGTGGTATCCAGAGAGAATAAGGATGCCAAAATATTTATGTAAATCATCAACGGACAAAGAGAAAGGGCAGGATTTTTGTGAAACGTACTTTACCGTTTCTTTAAAAAGATAGTTCATAAATTTTTCATCAAAAAATCATGTAAACACATCGATTGCTTTCAAATTTTGTTGTTCCCATTCATTTAGTATATAAGGCTCCATATTGTTTTATATCATCTATGACTCCTTTTTCGAGTTTTTTTCTTTCCACTTACGAATGATTCTTTTCATAGATTTTTTTGTTTTTAGCATCTTGTGAAATTTCTGCAACTTCCCTTTTTCTTTTGTTACCTAATTCGTGAGTTTCAGTCACAGATGTATTTGACAGCACTGTTTTCTCAGTTGCTGTATTTTTTCGAGAAACAGCTGTAATATCCATGCTTTGAGATAGTGTACCTCGGTCAATACTTTGAAAAGTGTAATTGAACTGGTCTTTCTCATCACTTCCGACATCACCTTTGTCAGAATCATTCCTTCATTTGAAAAATGCAACGTGAGTTGAACTTCGTTACACTGGTCAATTTCCTGAACCAAAGATCATCATCTTCTAAACTCTCATATATTTTTAACAATTTTTATATCGAAAACTTTGGTTTCCAAAGTTGAGGAATCAGCCAAGGGTTACAATGAAAGCAAGGATCGGTTAACTGCTATGGCTTGTAGCAATTCTTCTGGAAACCATAAACTCCACTAGTGATAATTGGGAAGTCAAAAAACCCCTGTGCACTTAAAAATGTAAATCGTGCATCTCTGTCTGTAGTGTATCAGAATCAAAAAAGTTCCTGGATGAACAGCTTTATTTTTAAACTGTGGTTTTTTGAAAATTTCGTCCCTGAAGTGAAAAAATTCCTCAAAGAAAACAAACTGCCCGAAAAAGCGATTTTGTTTCTCGACAATGCATCATCTCATCCTACAGAAGAAGATCTCATAAACGGGGATATTAAAGTTAAATTTCTCCCTCCAAATGTGACTGCAATTTTGCAACCCATGGATCAGGGTGTCTTGGAAACTGTCAAGCGTGTTTATCGAAGGGAACTCTTAAGCAAAGATATTAAAGAAGAAGGCGAACAGAGCCTGATTGATTTGTTAAAGCGTATAAGCGTCAAAGACGTGATCTACATGCTTGTAGACGCTTGGGATCATGTAAAAAAAATCATTCTTCAAAAGTCTTGAAAAAAATTGTGGCCAAACATATACCTTATAATGAATGCTGGCACTTCTCACACAAGTGAATCAGATGAAACCACTGTTAATGCAGAGGAATTATTAGGCATGTTTGCAAGAATTGATGGTTGTTCTGATGTTGATATCGACGACGTCAATGATTGGTTTTAAGACAAAAACGATGGAGGTTATGGTGTCATGACAGATGACGAAATAACTACAGCGTGTACATCTACTCAGGAAGAAAGCAGACGACAGCAAGGTGGAGGCGGAGGGAGACAGCGCACGGCCAGAGATGACATATGCGGACGCGACGTCACAGCTGAACAACATCAGGGCGTATTTGGAGCAACAGCAAGACACCACGCCAGCTGAACTAATGATGATGAAACGTTTACATGATCGTGCCGCGTTGAAACGTCACACAAAATTAAAACAAAGGAAGATCAATTACTTTTTTATAAATAAAAACTAATGCTATCAGTTAGTTATCAAAAACTAATGTTATCAAAAAGTTATCATTTCGCATGTAGATTTATTAACCTTATTATATTTCCGGATTATCTGGATTTTCGATTTACCGGATCGCTTCCGGTCCCAGTTTGTCCGGTTCATCGGTCCGGTTAAACGAGGTTGTACCTACTACTGTACTCTGTAACCTACATTGGGAAAGCAACTAATGTTTACTTTTTTCTAACTAGTAGATGGCGAAATATGTAGTAGTGTCTCACGTATTACATTAAATACGGTGGTCATTAATGGTTTAATTAATTATAATTTCGGTTTTACGTAATACTAGAATATCTGATATGACAAAAACATTAAGTCTTCATAATCCTGAATAATTATATTCTATTTTTTTAGGTTAGGATTATATATTGGACAACACCCAAAAAGAACAATTGTGATATGTTGGATAGTAGTACTTGTAAGCGCTTTAGGATTTATACGGTTTCGCCAAGAAAAGAATCCACTTAAACTTTGGGTTCCTCCAGATTCATCTTTCGTTAAAGACTCAGAATGGCTTATGAAATCCTTACAAATTGCGTACCAAGAAGAAGTGGTTATGCTTACGGGCGACGATGTACTTACTCCAGAGTACATACAAAGGGTAAGTTTTCTAAAATTAGATATTTATACACAGAATACAGTGGCGGTTGGTGGATGAGTGCTACGGGGGGCGCCAACCTTCAAAAATTATGTAGGTACATAATATGTAATATTGTTACTACAATTTTTAGTTATACCAACTCGACCAAGAGGTTCGGAATACGAAGAGTTCTAAAAATTTAACGCTTAAGGATGTATGTTTTATGTAAGTATTGATTTAATCTACTAAATTTATAGTAGTGTTTAATCATGTATTGCATTCATTGTTACTTTTTATAAAGATTAATGTAGTCTAGAGCAAATGCTACTTTTTATATTTTTTTAGATATATAATTATTTTTATTATTATGAACCAACTAATGAACTTTATAAACTGCTATTCAAAAAAGGTAAAAAATGACACCCCGTAAACTACACGCCAACGATTCATCAGATGATGCAATATTGATAACCCAAGGTGAAGATAGTCTAGAAAGACTATTGCACAGATTTAACATAAGGGCAAAAGAATTGAATATGATGATCCCACTTCATAAAACCAAATCATTAGTAGTAAAGAACCAACCAAATACAAATTAGAAATCGATAGGATCAGTATTGAATAAGTAATTAAACTAAATTACTCGACCGTTATGCTATCAGGGTATGGTGACTTGGAGATAGAAGTGAGAGATCAAGTGTTAAACACATATTTACAAAGAATTTATTCGTCCTCTCTCTTTTTATTAACTCGACGATAAAAATTCGATATTTTTTTTTATCAGAGTGGTCCTATTGACAAAAATCAAAATGCGTTTTAATAATGAAGAGTGCAGCTTTCGTACACATTTTTTGAATTTGTCGCAAACTAAGACATTTTCTATAAAGCTGCTAACTAATAAACTCTGTGCATTTTTTGCAATTTTTTTCAAGTCTCATAAAATCAATAAAATTGTTCAATTTCGTTGACCGGTCACTATGGAATTTCCATTGTTAGAACCTAATTTTCAAAACCTATAGCATGACATTTTTATTTTGAATTTTAGCAACAAATATGAGGCATTTTAAATATGCCTAAAAAAGCTATATTTTAATATTTCCCATTGAAAACGATCTAAAACTTTTAAAACTCTTTCTTTTCGATTGCACAAGTACATTTTTCATAACTACACAACTTCAGTTGCAAATTCCACCTAATGCAGTATTTGTGGAAGCATTTCGCTTGACGTGAGATTGTTTGTAATATGAAAGTTTAAATTCAACGTTTTTTAGGCACATTTCATTTGTTGCCAAACCTTAAAATCGAAATTTCATGTTATAGATTTTGAAAATTACGCTTTACCAATGGAAATTCCATAGCGATCGATTAATTAAGTTTTATTGACTTCGTTTGCGACAAAATGTATTATTTACATTCGAAAGCTGCTCTCTTCACCTTTAAAATTCATTTTAATTTTTGTCGATAGGACGCTCTGATCAAAAGATATCGAATTTTATCTAAAATGATTTCGCGCGCTTAACTGACATTTAAAATCGCCGGTCGCTTCAAGCGTTGTTTCTGGGAGAACCGTTCATTCTATACAAAAAGTGGTACTTAATATGTTTTAAAGGAAAGTCCGGAGATAGGAGTGGTAAACTTTTTTTGCATCTTTTTTGATTATATATCTTATATGATTTTTAAAGGTAAAATTTCTGGCGACTGGTGTGCGAATCCTTGTTCTAATCTCACACACATAAGATGTGCTACGAAATTAATAAGCGCAAGAGGTAAAAATCATAAAGGGACATTTTGAGTGTGTTGTCTGAACGGTGATCGTAGAGTGAATGAATCATCAAAGAAGTCAATGCATCTCTTTCTAATTTGCCAGCTTTATCGACCAAGTGAACCAAATAAACAATGAAAAGGTCTCGTGGTCGACAAACCGAACCATTAGAAAGAGATGCAGGGTCACTTTTCTCTGTCACACTGGGGGAACGCGACTGTATGGCGTCAGTCAGTCTATTTGAATTATATGTGTATGGTATCACCCTAATCGGCGAAGTAGTTTACTTTATCAGACCACCAGATATCACCCTTGAAAGATCAATTTATCCTTACATTTTCATAGAACTTTTTCTACGGCAAATGTCTTATAGTTTTAGTATCAAATTGTAAGGTGTGTCACTTTTTTAATAAAGAAGTCAGCTAAAAATGTTGGTGATATTTTTCTGGGGTTATAACTATCTTTTTTCCCGTGATTTGTACTCTGTTCGTTCTGACATCTTGCATGGGTATTATACCCAATCTTCTTATAGTTTGAAACATATAAGTGAAAGTAACATATTCTTACCGTAACCCTTTTAAAATTTAATAAAAACAAGAAAAATATAATAAAGCAATAGACATTTATATATTTTAGGATACCAAAGGTCGAACCGAGTCTTCTAAAATTACTCGATTATAACGATACTCGTGTAGACCCAAGCTCCCAAATGAATCCTGCGTTATACTGCAGCTTTGTCGAATCAATGAGGAAAGAGTGTTATGTCAAAAGTATATTAGATTTGTGGGGATTTAAGAAAAAGACAATTATGGCACTTACGAAGGAAGATATTGTCAATGCCATTAATGTTGAATCTGAGTAAGTACAAGAACCTATATTTTAGTTTTTACATAAAAGTATTTATTATATTTTGGTGGAATAGTTTCCGAATATGTTGAATAATTTAGTGGTGGAATTATTTGAAGGATTAGCTTTTAAATTATATACATATTATTATAACTCCAATATAAGCAAGGAAACGAAGTAGACAAAGCACTTGAAAAAAAATACTGGGCGCTATTTTCCAACTGGAATATCTTGGAGAAGTCAATAGAAAAGGCGTACCATCTTGTGTGTCTCGAAATATTTACTGCTTCGTGGTTTTTTATTAACATTTAAGCAAAAAAGGCGACTTTTTTATTCATTTCAATATTCTGAAAAAACTACGCATTCTAGGTAAGAACGTTTAACAGACGACTTTCTTGAAAATACTTTTTTTTTTAATGAGATTGTCTAAATTAAAACATGTTTATAAACAAAAAAGTTATTACAAATTAAACCCGAAAATAAGCATTTTTTCAATTCTTAATAATCATGAAAATAAATAATAAAAACGTTTAAAGGTACTTCTTCGTCTTCTACGGCACTACAGACCAAATTGAGCCTTGGCCTCCTTTATTTTTTGCCTCCACCCTTGCTTGTCTGTGGCTGATCTTCTCCATACACGGACTCCTAAAAGGGATTATGCGTTTCTATTTACTGTAACTTCCCAGCGCTTTCTTAGCTTTCCAATCGGTCTTTTTCCATGCATTTTAGCGTTCAGTACTCTTTTTGGTAGCCTATTCTGATGCAGTCTGACAATAGCGCTTCTTTATAAAGTTTATAATGCTCGTTGTTGATGTATTCCGGTTTCCCTCACAGGTCCTAGTATACCTGAGTACTTTCCTTTCGAATGTGTCGAGTTTGCTTTTGGATGTTTCTTTCAGGATCCATGCTTCTCTGTCATAGTATGCTATTGGTCGAATTAAGGTTTTATAGATTCTTATCTTATTCTAATTCCAGGTGTGTAAACTTTCCAACCGTTTCAATGTCATCATCATGTATAATGTTTTGTGGGACTATATTTCTTCTCGTCTGTATCATTACTTTTGTTTTTTTTCTGTGTTAATTTCCAGACCTATCCTTTTTGTTTGCGTTTTGTTTTCTCTGCATATGTTTTATGTGCTACCTGTTGATGCTCTACTCATAATATTAATATCAACGGCATAAGCTGCCAGTTGGACCGTTCGGTTGGTCAGTAGGTTTCCTCGTCTAGTTTGCATTTGCCTAATCGCATAATCCAGTGCCAGGTTAAACAAAGTTGGGGCCAGCCCATCTCCCTGCTTTAGTCCCTGCGAAGTTTTGAAAAAGTCTGTCCGGTGGTTTTGTATTCGTACACATGCCTGAGTTTCATCCATTGTGGCTTTAATGAGTCTAATTAGCTTGTATGGTATTGCCAATTGAGCCAATATATTGTAGAGTTTGTTTCTTTTGACTGACTCGTATGCCTGTTTGAAGTCTACAAACACGCTGTGAACATCAATGACATATTCCCATGATCTGCTCAAGATCTGTTTGACTGTAAATATTTGATCCAGTGTCGATCTTACTCTACTATAATATTTTTTGCTAGTGGTTGAACCGCTGGTTTATAATATACGTAAGTACTTTATATGCTGTACATAGTATAGAAATTCCACGGTAGTTTTTGCACTGGAGTTTGTTCCTTTTTCATAGATCGGGAATACTATACTTTTCTTCCAGTCGTCGGGTATTTTCTTTTCTTGCCATATGTCTTTGATGAGCGCGTGGATTTGACTTGTTAGGTGGTCGCCACCTATCTTATACAACTCTGCTGGTATTTCGTCAACTCCCGGGGCTTTATTGTTGTTCTGGGCCTTAATAGCTTCGAGAACTTCCTCTATGGTTGGAGCTTCTCCTCCAGTCTCTACTTCATTCTCTTCTACGTAGTTCGTACCCATTTTATCTTCTATGTCTACTTGTGTATCAAATAATGCTTCCAGATTTCTGTGACCTTCTGTTGGTCACTAATTATTTTCCCACTTTCATCTTTACATAGACTTCTTTGAGGTTTATACCCACTTTTTATCTTTTTTAGGTATTCGTTAGCCCCTCTAATTTCGTTGTTTTTAAAATTTTCCCTTCCATTTTTTCTATTTGTCCTTTTTTCATAAGCTCTTTTGTTTATTTCTACATATCTTGTCTGCTTTCCGTCTTGCGACTTCAAATGATGTTCGTCTTTACCATCTTCTTCTTGTTATATACATTTTGTGAGCTTCATTTCTTTCCTCTAATATTTGTCTGCTATCGTCATCGACCCATGCTCTTCTTCCCGCCTTTTTCTTGTTTCGCAGTTTGGACGCTGTCGCTATCAGTACTGCTGTTTTGATATTATTCCATTTGCCCTCTATGGAGTGCAGTTCTAGCATCTTTAACTCATTTGCGACTTATTCTTCGAACTTCTGTTTACATTCCTGAATCTTCAGTTTTTCCAAGTCCAGTTTGCTTCTTCTTTGTTGTCTTTCGTTTCTTTCTTTGTTAACTCTGCATCTAAATTTGGGTCTGATTTGGGTAAAAGATGGTCTGATTCACAGCATGCTCCTCGTCGTGTTCTCACATCTGAGATACTACTGGCTGCCCTTTTGTCTATCAGCACATGGTCGATTTAATTGGTTGTGGTTCCATCTGGTGAAATCCATTTCATTTTGTGTATGTCTTTAGATGGGAAGCATGTGGAATTTATAACCATGTTTTTACAGGTGGCAAAATTTATGAAAAACTCCCCATTCTCGCTTATTTCATTGTGCAGTGGGTGTTTTACTGCGACTCCTTGTCTATTTTGGCATTCATATCACCCATTATAATCTTGATGTCATTTTTGGGCGCATTATCATAAATACTATCTCCAGCTGTTAATAGAAGCTTTCCTTTGTATGTTGTTCTTGTTGTTCTGTCGGGTACTGGATGTTTAAAGTTACTATATTTGCTTTGTTTAAAGTAATATGGGTCCGATCGAGTAGTTTTTAAACAATTCTATTTTTTTATCCCATTTGAGAAAACAAAGGTCATTTTCAAATGGCTGTAGAGGTGCTTCGATTAGATCTGACGGACGATGTACGGTGGACGCCTACGCAGAAATGCACGGCACCTTAAGAAGAAGGAGAATATAAACTATAAAACTTTATTTACGAATGGATGGGATACTTTGAATAATTCTGCCCGCTGGAAGAAGTTAGTAAAATATTATAGTTATAGAGACGAGACAATAGCGGCAAATTGAAATACACTAAACGATGTCGGTTGTGCACTCATACTCCCCTCTCTCCTATCGTATACCATCGTAATAAGCAAAGTACCTCCTTCCCTCTTATCTACGACGTAGTTTATGGATATTCCCTTGGGCACAGAATACACCATCCCAACTGGATTATTCTGTGCCTTGGGTAATGGGCTGTCGAGATGTTACGGTTGTCTGTGAACCTAATAAATTGATTTTTTTGTTCGATACAATGTCAAATGAGTTTTCACTCTCGCAATTTAAGAAAATTTCTCTTGTTTTTAAACAGATAAGCTTCATAAGTCCTTTTTTTATAACTTTTTAAAAATGCTTAGTTGTTTTCGCATGTTATAAATACGGAGAATGTTTTGCATGTTTTGCTGCTTGTTAGAACAAGCAGCAAAACTGAAATGGAATTGGGCTGGACACAATGAACGTCTCCAAGACGGACGATGGAACAATGCCATCGGAAAGTGGCGTCCATACAATGCAAAGAGATCAAGAGACAGACCACAGATGAGGTGGAAAGATGACATCAGGAAACAAGGAGGTCCCACATGGCAGAGAACAGCTCAAGATAGGGAAAGATGGAGAGAACTGGGGGAGACCTATATCCAACAATGGAAGGATAGAGAATAGGTTCAAAAAAAAATACAGAGCAAAAATTTACCTATTTATACTAAATTTATTTAAAAACTGTTTTGTTACGTTTTTAACTAACCAAGTATAAATATGCAAAATATGCGTTGACCTTTTGCACGATAGTAATTAGTTTTTTACAACACTGTAACAATCATTACGAACACTGTGTAACATTCAAATGTTGTACTAAAGTACAAAAATATACGTCAAATGCGTTATTCATTTTTTTTTTAATTAAACATGTTTCATATTTTTAATATGATTATATAATTAAAGTCATATGTTTAATAAAACAGTCCAAGGCAAAACAGAAAACTGAAAAGTTGTGCTTTTTTTGCGGAAGCTGTCTGTTCTACACTAGACCTATTGCAGCCAATTGACTTAATATATTATATGTATATTCAATTATCCATTCGGGACTTGACTATAATAATCAAGCTTTTCTTCCTTACATCAAAGGTGTCACTAACAAAATCGACAAAATTCTTAAATCAAGAGGAATAAAGACAATATTTACCCCCCAACAAAAACTTTCATCTCGTGTCCGATCAATCAAAAATAACATTCCAAATGAACAACACGGAGATTATGAATTTCTTTGTGCAGACTGCCCCTGATCCTATATAGGCCAAACAAATCGTAAAATCCAAAATAGGATTAATGAACATTCCATTTCTGTTCGCAATTCCGATTTAGTTTCAGCTCTAGGTCAACACCATCTTCGTACAGGTCACAAAATTGATTTTGAAAACTCCAAAACCATAGCCTCCATCCACTTCTATAAACCAAGAATTATCTGAGAAGCTATAGAAATTGAAAAACAGCCAAATTATCTCAATAAAAGAGATGGCGCCTTACGGTTACCTTTGACATGAAGATCTCTCATAAAGAAAATATTGTGTCCGCTACACCCGTCTATCAAAATCCTAGTTTCAGAAATGTTGGCGCAAACGTCCGCGCCAATTCCCACGCTCGGAGAGACACATATTTTTCTATGAACGTAAAGAGTGGCACTGATTTAGGTCTTTTTCACATGTGTTATATAAAATATTTTAATACATGTCGCTTAAGTTGCATGTGTCTGTCTTATAATGATTTTTTTTTTGTTTATTGATGTTGTATGAAAAATAGTATTTTTTGTACTTGTTTTCTATATCCAAGTTCTTGACATCTGATAAATTAAATGTATGGCCTGTTGTGTTGCAAAACAGAGAATAATTCTTCTGTAGTTACACACCATTAACAATTTGACCTATTGTAAAGCATACGTATTTTTTGAAACACCACTGCTTCGTTAGGCTACGAAAAATTCTCGCCACTGCATTTGAAACGAGCTATAAAAATTGTCAAGTATAATATTTTGTTAATTCACATAATTATTATTCTAGTGAATTGTTTGGAAAACTGAAAAGTCATAAAGACCTCCTTGGAATGGTTGAAAAAAACGAAACCGGACATATCGTTGGAGCTAAAGCTTTATACAATTATTGGTATTTGACAAAAAACTTTTCGGCTATCGATATGGAGAAAGTTGGAAATATGGCGGGTACCAGTGATTGGGTAAGTAAATAAATAATTCTCATGTACCACAAAATATCACTAGATATATTTTGAGTAATATTTATTAATTTAAAAACTTATCATCCTGTAGTCTGTAAGCTGTAGCTTGAGCCGTAGTTGACCATATTTTAAAAACATTAAAAAAAAAATCATTATTTGATAGTAAATTTAATTATTATATAAACTAAATAAGATGTTTAAAAATAACAAGTTATATTCAAAAATATATACAAAATTAAATAATATAATTAATAATAAATTAAATAATTTTATTATTTATTTATTTTTTATATTTTAAACAAAATTCAATAAATTATTATGTTAGCTCCTAACGCCAGCTGTTAACCTATATAAAAAAACATTTTTCACATGCTTGTACGTTATTCAAGATTTACGACGTCAGAACCCCACAGCGTTGCCAGAACATCAGAATAGTTAGTAAGTGAGGAATTTTTAAAATGTCAACAATTTGTCAAACTATTATATTAACAGTAAATATACTTAGTTTTATGACTACTGCAATAAACTAAAATACATAAGAAAACATTTTAATACAAAATTATATATTCTAAATTTTAAACTTAGCTCTTTTAAGGCTGTAATTGTAAAAACGTCCCGTCATTATTTCTTGTTCAAAATAATCCATCTTATATGAAAGCTTGTCAGCTTTCTACAGACTCAGGCCCGGCTCAAGACGAAATTTTCACCAGGGCAAGGTGAAGTTGAGTCGCCCCCCCCTCCTAGTAAAAACCCCTATAAAAACAACAACAATCAGCTGTTTTTAAGTTTGCAACACTTTTTGAGTAACTGCTGATTTTATGACCTTTGATAGCCCCACTGTAAAATGTTCGTATTAAATCAACACAGCATGACATCACAGTTTGTTAACATCCTTTGTATGTGTCATATGATATTGACACCGTCTGTGTGTAATTTGGACACCAACTGTGTGTTATATTGACACCGTATGTGCATATGACACACAGACGGTGTCAATTTGACACTCACAAAAAGTGTGTAATACCATCATCGAGCAAAAAGATAAAAGAGGGAATGTAAAGGTAGTGGGGACAAAAATATTGTTAGACAGGAAGTGCTATCTTGAGAGGCCACTTTAAACAAGGAAAGATAGACTCTTTCCTTGTTTAAGAAGTCAAATTTAGTTTGGTTATGTTATTGTTTGTCCCAACTGTCACATGAAATTTTATTTATATTGAAGTTTTTTACCAATTGTGTCACTTTTTAAACTATTATCGTTAATATTTAATTAAAACTTTCTTGTCTGAAAAATATTTTATAGCTATTGTTAACAAGTGTTGGAAAATTTAAATTTAGCGCCTTTGCATTTCCGGATATGTCCGCCATCAGAGGCCACCTTTTTGGTCTCCTTTTCATAATGATTAGATTCCCTCTTTTATCTTTTTGCTCGATGAATACCATATAAATGTAATTGGATAGTAAATCAACGCCATTTTTTTACATAAGCGTTGTATATTTTGCACAGTGTCAGTTAAAGAAACAGTTTGGACGTAAAGTATATTTACATTATATTTAAAAATATTATATAAAGAACAATGAACAATAGCCTGGTGTCAATGATGTAATGATGTAATTTAGTCTGTTAGGCTTCTGTAAGTATTGCAAGTCTAGTTTACAAAGGCAACTTTTTTTTTGAACCTATTCTCTATCCTTCCATTGTTGGATATAGGTCTCCCCCAGTTCTCTCCATCTTTCCCTATCTTTACAAGCAACGGTAACTTTACGAGCCTTTTTTCCAGCAAAGTCCTTAATGATGTTGCTTAAATCAAGTCGTTGTAATACATCATATTCTATAGACATAAGTGCCAGTCCTACTAGCCGTTCTTGGGACATAGTGGATCTTAAGTAGTTTTTAATTAACTTAAGTTTAGAAAAGCTTCTTTCTCCAGATGCAACACTTACTGGAAGAGAAAGAAGAATTTTTAGAGCTACACAAACGTTTGGAAAGTTCTCACTTAAAGAATGTGATGAAATAAATTTCAAAATGTCCTTTGGTTTATCTCCACAATCGTCGGGTAGAACTGTTTTGAGCACTAAGAGTTCCTGATACATCTGGTGTCCTTCAACATCACGGTGCTCTCCATCAGTTAGAGATATCTGCAGGTCTGCACATTTAGTCATTAGAGTATTGATGTCTTCTCTTTTCAGTTTGTAAAGAAATCCAAACGTGTCATTGTGGGTGGATAACTGAGAAAATCTCTCTTCAAGTGATGCGATTGTTGTGTCCAAAATGTAGAGGTAACATTTACTTCTGAAGTTTACTTTTGGATCCACAACTGCTTCATCTCGTACCTCATCATCAAATTGGCGCTTGACTCTCCTTGATCGAACTTGTTGTTCAGAAGGGAAGGATGGTTCAACTTCAAGGCTTTCTGCTACTTCTCGAGCATCAACAAGCATTTCTTCAAACCCCTTGTCACTTCTTATTTCATTAAAGTAGGACTTTACAGAAGCTATCAGTTCCATAGCGGCTGCAATATCAAAATCTTCTTTTTGTACCAGTTTACTGATCACATTTATCCTCGAGAGAATTGGGATACGAACACAAACAGAATGTAGATTGTAGATAAATAGGTGCTATCGATCACGATCATTGATTGCTATTCAAGAACAAGAAGATGCGACTGCGAGACTGCCACTGCCAGAGTGCTTGGGCGAGTCCATTAGGTGAGCCAGAGAGGGGTAGCCGCTTTGCGGAGGAAGTGGTAGGAGGCTTACGAAGTTGCGCTTGTCGTCTGCAACTGCAACCCTGCGTGGAGTCTGATCAGCTGATCGTGCCGACTAACTGTCGCGCTGCTTTCTTGAGTCACGACTAGCGGAAGAACGAGAGGTGAGAGGTTAGGTTCCGAACGTCCTTTGCGATATTTATAATTTTTCGGCTTACTTAAGTTACCTACCGATTGGTTTGCCATTAAAACTATCTAGTATTTGGTGTATAGCCATCGTTGTTATTATTAAAAATGTAATTTGATTAACCCCATTATTTCCAAAGTAAAACTGTCCAAGATAAGTAAAAGGAAAATTCACCTCACGTTGTTTGTTAATTGTTCAGAGCTGTTAGTAAGCAGTGGATCACCAACTTAGTGGATCGCCCGCTGTTAGTGGTCGACAAAGCTGAGGAGCCGCGAATGCTTCGGCGTCCTTACATTCGCGGCGCCCCGGGCAAGCGCCCGGTTTGCCCGGCCCTTAAGCCGGGCCTGTACAGACTATTTATTTGTTTTGACATAGGACAATCACAATACACAACAATAATTAGTTTTTAAAGCTATTAATCTAAATGTAATATATATTTATAAATACAATTTATTAATGTATATTATATTATGATCAAATTATATAAGAAATAAAAACATAAACAATATTCTTCCTCTAAAAAAGCGGCAACATTTTATACACTTTTGCCACCCGCTGAACTGTCAATAAAATTTGAAGTATTCCGGTATCAGTTGCGTACAATTGTCTAATATATTTAATTAAAATTATTATTTTGTTTAATATTAGACTTAAGTTATTTCATAAAATTTATTTTATTAATAATAACAAATATTTTTGGTTATTTAATCAATATAATTCTAAAATTCCCAATATAATAATGATTACATTTTTCTGATTATTACACCATGTTGACGCCTATGAAAGATCGAGCAGTTCCTTATGGGTTTCGTATTCTTACTTGTGTTAGGAAAATTTGAACTCCAAGGTTGACGTTCTGGAAATTTTAAATACAAGTGACGTCACTTTGTATAAATCGTGACGTGCAAGTGTTTCGACTTTGAAAAATGGTATATTAAAAATGCATACGTTGTTTACCTTACGTATGACAAACCTATCAAATTCAGACCAAATATTAATTATAAAATATAAATAAATATCATTTGATGGTAAATTTAATTATTATAATATAAACTAAATATTTTTTTTGATGGTATACAAGGCAAATATCGAACACAGTAATTAATTTAATCTTGCCCAAGTACTTTCGATCAATAGATCATCCTCAGGGGCATTTCGTCAGTTGTGGCCTATCCAACATGAGCAGAATGTCATACATGTAAATTTGGACATAACAATACAATACACAAAGACAAACAAACACTTTAAAATTTTTAAAAATGGAGAAGCTACATGTTATATAGCAGCCGGAGACAGAATTGATTTCTGTCTGATTTCAGAATAATTCTGTCTCCGGCTTCTATATAACATGTAGATTCTCCATTTTTAAAAATTTTAAACTGTTTGTTTGTCTTTGTGTATTGTATTGTTATGTCCAAATTTACATGTATGACATTCTACTCATGTCGGATAGGCCACAACTGACGAAATGCCCCTGAGGATGATCTATTGATCGAAAGTACTTGGGCAAGATTTAATTAATTACTGTGTTCGATATTTGCCTTATATACCATCAAAGTTCAATTATTCGAACATTCAACCTTATATTGGTTAAACTAAATATGTTTAAAAATAATATTTTTATTTATATGAAATTATTTTAAACCGAGCATTATTAATGACAATCGTTGTGAATCGAATCTTTTAGTTACATTTTACTGTAGAGAAATACAAGTATTACAACGCCAGTACCTATAGAAACTTCGCTTCAAAAATTTGCCTAATTCTACCTAAACCGTATTGTAGACATCTGTTTACCATGAATCAGCAGTTCCTGTCTCTCAATCATCACTACGATAGTTCTTCTTTGTCAACCATTTTCCATCCACTCCTGAATGTTGGTCTCTCCCAATTGCTTCCAGCTTCCTCTATCTTGCGCCAATCTAATCCACTGTTTGCCTGTCACTGCTCTTATGTCATCTACCCATATTTTTTGAGGTCTTCCCATGCTTCTTGTTGACCTGCCCAGCGCCATTTCATTTTTGTAATTTCTTCGACAATACCCCTAATCTTAGTTCTACGTCTTATCTCGGTGTTTCTAAGCTTGTCTTTCAGTGATATTCCAAGCATGATTCGTTCCATTGCTCTTTACGTTGTTTCTAATTTTTAGCAGATTTTTTGGTAAGGGCTACTGTCTCCAAGCCGTAGGTACAAACTGGTAGTGTGCATGTGTTATACACCTTTTTCTTTAAGTATACAGAAATGGAGGTGTTTTTCAAGATATATGCTAGTTTGCCGAAAGCGCCCCATGCCAGATGTGTTCTTCTTTTAATTTCCAAATCTTGATTTGGTTTTCCTAGTTTGATAACCTAGATGACCTTGATGACCTAGATATACATAATGTTCAACATTTTCTATGGTATGATTTTGTATTGTTATATTTGTGTGGTCTCGGCTCAGAATTTTTGTTTTACTGTAGTTCATTTTTAAGCCTACCGCTCCTGAAACTACATTTAATTGTTGTAACATATCTTTTAGTTCTTGGTTATTTTGGGCTATTAAAACTGTGTCATTTGCGAATCTCAAGTGGTTTAAGTATGATCCTTTGACGTTGATACCCTTGTCGTTCCATTCTAGTTTCGTAAAAATGTCTTCTAGGACAAGAGTAAATAGTTTGGGAGAGATGGTGTCTCCTTGTCTTACTCCCCGTTGTAGTCTTATGGGATTAGTTTTTGTGCTTTCGTCCATCTTTATCTGCATGGTGGCATTTTCATATATGTCTTTAATTATGTTAGTGTATCTTGAATTTATACGTGCATTTTCTACGATAGTTTAAAAAGTTTTAATGTGCTATATATATAGTAATTATAACCTTTGCTTCCTATTGATTTATACTAAGTTTTTAGGCAACAGAAGAAGCCGTAGATTGGGAAGGTTTATTCCTAGAAATATTGGAAAAGTTTAGTCAATCAAAAGAAATGTTTTACTACGCAGGTAGAAGGTAAGTGTAAAAAGGATGGGTTATACTTTACTTATACTAAAATAAGAATACTCAAGGATGTCAAGGTCAAGTTATGTGCTGAATGAAAACCCTCAATTAGCGGATCAATTTAGGGGTATTCTCCAGTTTTTGCTAAATCAAAAATTGTCCGGATCTCGAGTTGAATTTTCTAGTTGCACATGTAGCCCCAGAGAAAGAGACTCAGACAGGAGGGGGAGCAAGCGAGAAAATACAAGATACTGAAATTGTTTATACTTATTAAGTACCTACACAAAAAAACTAGAAGTAGACACTTCTAAGGAACTGTTAAAATAGAGGTTGTCTCTGTTGAATTATTTGAACATATGGGAGCTGTGTTACAATAATTTTCAGTATGTCCAAACGACTGACAAGTTTTACGATGTAGTAGTAATTTAATATTTTTAATTACTTCTACGGTAACAGCTGCATTCCAGGATGTTTTAATGTTATATATTTTATTTTTGAGGTTATAGATGTTCGCAAAAAAAGAAATATACATTACATATTTGCGCCAAAGCATGCTGGTTGGGAATCCACTCCGACATGAAGCAGTAGCAATCGAGAGAGCAGATAGGATTAAGTTTAAATTATGGTACCACTGATCATCTCCATACAGTAAAGACACTCATTGAAAAATCTATAGAATACAACAAACCACTTGTCCTCACTTTTATAGATTTTCATAAAGCGTTCGACACGATCGAAATAGGCAGCTTTATAGAAGCAATGAATGACAGTACCTACAAAAATTCCACTACAAATGACGGTTAAGATACACGATAAAACCCGACCAATAAAAATAAAACGTGATATAAGGCAAGGAGATACATTGTCACCGAAATTATTCATAACGGCCTTAGAGTATGTCTTTAAGATACAGAGAAGTAACAATAGTCGGCGAAAAGCTTAACCATCTTTGTTTCGCAGATGACATTATCCCTATCACAGATAATTTAGGAGAAGCTACAGATATATTAAATGAATTGGACTTTGCATCTTTGAAGGTGAGCGTCCGAATGAAGTTCACCAAAACTAAGTTTATGACAAATATGGTCCCCAATAAAGATTTAACTAAGTGGTAGAACTAGTGGAAAAATAATAATGGATAACCAAACATGCGAAATCCAAAGACGAATTACTTTAGCGTGAACAGCCTTTGGAACACTGCGAGACAGCAACATTCTAGAATATATTCTAGAAGTGCTTCAAGAATTAGTTCAAATGCATGCCAAAGTGATCTTCATGGAGAGTATTTTGAAAAAAAAGTTAACCAGTCTTGTAATTTATATTAATAACATACTTAATCATAAGTCAATTTATTTTATTTTTCTTTTTTTAGTTTCGGTGATATAAGCAATGCAGCTTTATTCCAAGATATGGACTTAATAGTCTTTGGAGTCACAATTATGATACTTTATGTTCAACTAGTTATATCCAAATTTAATTTTGTTGAAATGAGAGTAAGTATTATTTACAAAAAAATCTGTGTGTTGAGAATTTTAGAAAATAAGTTGAATGATAAGTGACTTAAAACGCAAAACCTATGACACTTGTATACTACCAGTTGCAACTTATGGATTGGAAACTATGGCAATAACAAGAAAAATGGCAGAACAATTAAGAGTAACTCAACGGGCCATGGAAAGGGCTATGTTAAATATAAGCCTCAGAGACAAAATTCCTAACACCGAAATACGTCGAAGAACTAAAGTAACAGACATCATGGGAAAAATAGCGACATTGAGATGGCAATGGGTAGCACATGTAGCAAGACAAGACATCAACAGATGGTCTCATAAAGTGACATTCTGGAGACCTCAAGAAACAAAAAGAAGCGTGGGAGGACCTAAAAAGAGATGGATAGACGATATAACTGCTGTAGCTGGAAAGCAGTGTATGAGAATTGCAAAAGATAGGGAAGCGTGGAAGTAATTGGAGGAGGCCTATGTCCAACATTGGATCAATGAAGGCTGAAGAAGAAGAAGAAGAAGAAGATAGGTGACTTACCTCTTGCTATTTTGACGATTCGTGTCTCCTCCATTCTGTTTATTTCATTCTTTTTTTCTGTTTTGTGTCCATTCATTTACACTATATGTACATTTTCTTCAATGTCATGACTTCTCTTTCGATCTATTAGGGTATTTCCTGTAATTCTTCTCAGTACTCTCATCTCTGCCGTTTCCAGTAGCCTTTGCGTTGTAGCTGTGTTGAGTCTTGTTTCTGACGCATATGTCATTGTTGGCCTTACACGGGCTTTATGATACTATGATGATACTATACTAATTTCAGAGAATATACAAGATCTACAGACACTCTTAGATAATGTAGTAAATGCTAGTGAGGAAAGCAGAATAACGCTTACTGTTAAAAAACAAATTTATGACAATTTCCAAAACACAATAACAAGACATTTTAAACATAGGAGGGGTTCCAATAGAAAAAGTAAAAAAATACAGATATCTTGGTACGATTATTAATGAAAATAACGAGTATACAGAAGAAATAAAAATGAGAATTGGATAAGGTAGAGCAACATTTAATGATGAGATGAAGATGAGAAAAGTATTATGCTGTAGAGACCTTAGTTGCAACTCAAAATAAGAATATTACGTTCACATGTGTTTTCGGTGCTGCTTTATGGGGTGGAGGCCTGGGCCTTAAAGAAAGAGTTGAGCGATCGACTTGAAGCATTCGAGATGTGGACCTGCCGTAGAATATTAAAAATAAATTGGGTAGACCGAATGTTGAGGTCCTCAGAAAGAAGACAAAGGAAATGGAAATCATGAATATGATTAAGATAAGAAATTTACAATATCTCAGCCATGTTATGGGACGGGATAGCTGTGATAATTACCAACCTCCTTTGAGGAGACGTTACCTAAAGAAGAAGACTGGCTTTATAAATTCTTGACTTCATCTCAGTGTTAATGTGTCTGCTTCTCCATATAGTGTTATTAAGTCATCCTACCAGTATATTTGTTTTTTATACTTGATCTCTCACTTCTTTGTCCAGGTCTCCATAGCTGGACAATGTATTTTATTTCCATTACTTGTTTAATACTGATACCATCAATTTCTATTTTGCAATATACCTAATAATAACAATACATTAAAAATGAAAATGTTTACTATGCTCATTGTATGCATGCAAAAATTTATCTTTATTGGTTTTTTATAAAAATTCTCTCACACAGAATTCCATTATTAAGTTTCATGAACAAATTGATTAATACTTTTAGTAAAAGATTATTTTAGGCTTTATTGGGTTACTATCTATAGGAATGTCCTTCGTCGTAGGCTCAGGAATCTGTTCACTGATAGGCGTTCCTTATGGTCCTGTTCACACATCTTTACCGTTTCTACTAATGGGGTTAGGTAAGTTAAACATTTTTTTAAAAGTTATACTATATATATATATATATATATATATATATATATATATATATATATATATATATATATATATATATATATATATATATATATATATATATATATATATATATATATATACTATGTCCATTTTCTTACTTCTTCAGGAAAGCAGTTTTAACATTTTTTAAATTTGTAATCAGTAAATACTCTGTATAAACAAAGTTACAGTAATAATCTTGGTTATAAGATTAATATATTGTTATTGTTGTGCGTATAATCGTTTTTCCTTCCATGAATTGTTATATACCTGAAGTTTACCGTTCATTATATATTTTTTTTTTAAATGTGTAGTTGGACATAATGTTGTCTTTTAACAACTTTTTTAAATAATGTGATATTTCATGTTAAGGTCTCTAAAAATAAACAAAACGCATGACAAATCGACGGAACAAAAGGCAATAGTGATTGGTAATGGGATCACCGAGACTTGATAAATTACTCTGGAAACGTTACTTTCTGTCTTCGATACCTCATGAAGTCCACCTGATAAATATTTTGATTATTGAAATCGGTCTTATAAAAGAACTTTTTTTCAATGTGTAGTTCTTGGACTTGTAGGAAAACACATGTTGACAGTAGAACAGGCTCTTTGTTAACATTCTTTTTTCTACTTACAAAAGGAGGATTAGGTGACAGTTTCTTATCGAATAGCGTTTTGAAGTTTTTGAAATCTACAAGTTTCATATAGTGCACTGTGTATTTACCTGATGTTTGCCTAACCATGTTGCCAGTGCCATGGTGTTAAAATGGCCAAATTGAAGAGTTTCTTTCTTTTTCTCTCGAACAAAGCATGAACACTGTCTCCTTCCATATGTGTGTGCCCTTTCATTAAAAACTTTTGAGTGGTCGTTTTTATTTAAGGATACGTATGCAGTATCCAAAAATAGCACATTATAATACCTATATTTTTTGTCCATAACAGTTATCGGTCCAAATAATGATGTCCTCTACTTGAGTACCTGGAATTGTATTGTCAGCCTATTTCAAAATTGACGAGCCAATTTCATTTGGACCACGGGCCCCTTTCGATTCGTCCCACATCATACATTGTACAGAAGAATCACTGGCATCATATAATGTAAAATTTAATGTCCAACGCTCTCTCTTATAGAAACTAATACAATTGTTTGTTAGTGGTGAAGGAAAACATTTTTGCAAATCGCCAGATATTACTTTGTGTTTTGGCGATTCTTTAGCCACTATAAAGTCCATTGTTTTAAATTATACCGAGTTTTAGATTCAATTAGGTGAGCATCATGATCAGCCTGTAAACTGGTTAGTTCATCTGCAGTAAGATTATTTTTCAATTAAGCGGTGAATATACTGCATGTACTGCAGTGTTTATTTCGGGTGGTGTAAACGACAACTTTAAGTCTTTATTAAAAATATATGCATACAACCACTTTTTTGCTATTAGCTTTGAATCCACATGTCTTTCATTGCATTCATCAATGTACAGTTGATACACATTTTCTATTGTAAGTTCTGTGCCCAGATAATTTCTCCTGCTTCTTTCTCTGGAATAATGACTCTCTTACTTTGGTAAGGAATTGATATGTTGATGTATACTATTTATTTTATGGTTTTGGTAGGAGTTTTATTGATTGGCGTGTGTCTACCTCTTTGATCAGCTTTTATTAAACTCCTGGCTCAATTTTTTTCAGCATATTCACTACTACTAAATTAGTTATACAAAGTGTGTTTAAAAACATAACCTTGCACACCTTCAATCGCTGATTGTTCACTCTAAAGTGGTAGTGTAGTGTATTATTTTTAGATTTGGTAGAGTTTGGGTCTCATTTTCTTGATCGAAGAGTAGGTTGGATGTCGACACATGAGAAGATAAATTGCTTTTTAACACCTGAAACGTTTAAAACGGCAATTTTTCAGAGCATTTCATGCGCACATGCAAGGAGGCTGTAGCATTTTTGCAGGCATGTTTTCGCCTCTTTTACTGAGATACTCTTTCCCACCAGCTTTGAAATCTTAAATAGGAATCCCCATTTTTACTGCAGATTTGGATTCCTCATAAAAAAATAAGTAACTTTTGTAAGAAACATTTTTTCGAATTGTTAATAGATGGCGCTATGATTGGAAAACGGTGTAATATCTTGAGAAATACACTTCCAAATGAAAAACTAAAAAGCACGTGTTTAATATTTTTCAAAAATCTATTAAATAGCACTAAACACGGCCCCGCACTCTGGGGGTGGAGCGGGGTACAACTTTAAAATCTTAAATGGAAAATTACATTTTTTATTGCAGATTACTTTTCTACTTGAAAAAGTAAACAAACATTATCTGAATTTGTTCGATTCGCAATAGATGGCGTTGTAATAATAGAAAATCGTATAGGTATAGATCAGAAGTCTACAAACCCATTTTTATGGTACTAAATATAGTTTTTTAAGAATATTTTGTAGAATTAGAACATGCAATAAAAAATAGAGGTTCCTATTAAAGATTTAAAAATTGCCCCCCATCCCATGGTATTCCATCACCATGGTATCATCTGTTATATCTTATTATTGTAATCGAATAAAAAAAAACAACCGACGAAGTCAAAGAATATTTGTTTTAAAGCAATTTAATCACCAATACATAAAAATTAAAGAAACCCATAAATTCTTAAATAATAAAATGGAAATTATTTATTTTAAAGTCAATCCAAAATTTCAGTGTACAAGGAATATTGTTTAAATTGTTTTTATTTATTTACGCTTGTTTTAGTAGTCGATGTTACTAACCCTATGGTTTATGCAAGCTCCAATTCGCGTGGGAATGCTTCTAAACAAATTGTCTAGATTTTATTGCGGTTGGTTGTTTCCTTTTTTCAAGAGCAGCTTGTACTAGCTGTACGGTGTTTTGTGAATTATGTCGGCGAGATCTAATTTTTTTTTTAAGCATATCCCACAAATGTGGAGTTAAGGTCGGGTGAGCAAGCAGGCCACTACAGAATAGTGATATATTCTGCTTCAAGAAAGTCTGTAATGATTCTGCTGGTATATGGAGGTGCATAGTAATGAAAATTAAATTTTTTTCCACTGAGCTTTTTCAGAGTCGAACTTCTTCTTTAAGTGCCATCTCCGCGACGGAGGTTGGCAATCATCATGGCCATTCTGACCTTCGACGCAGCTGCTCTGAACAATTGCCTTGAGCTGCAACCAAACCACTCTCTCAGGTTCTTCAATCAGGAAACGCGTCTTCTTCCTACGCTTCTCCTACCCTCTATTTTTCCTTGAATTATGAGTCTCAAGATGTTGAATCTTTCGCCTCTCATTACATGTCCGAGATATTGCAATTTCCTTTCTTTTATTGTATTTTCTATTTCCTTCCCGCTGCCTATTCTGCGTAACACTTCTGCATTCGTGACTCTATCTACTCATGGAATCCTTAACAAATGTCCATATTTCAAACTAACCATATTACTTCCCCAGACCATAACACTTCCTCCTTTATATCTGTGAACAGATCTGGCTGTTTTTGTTCTTTCTTGTCTTCCTCGCCCTCTAAGTACATGAACTCATCCGTTATATGATTTTAAACAAATCCTGGTTTCTTCTAAAAATAGCACATTTCTAATGTTCCAATTTTAGTATGGAAAACACCAATATAGGCTATCAATCTTGTGTTGCCTGGTTAACTCGGAAACCCGTACTATCTACTGAGGTATAGTTTTTGGGCATGAAGTCTTCTTCTTATCGTTTCAACTGAAACACTTACACATGTACCTCCCAAAAGCTGCCTTTGGAGTTGCAGGTGAAAGAGTGTTCTAGCTACTTGGACAATAAAACGGTCGTGGCAAGTCGTTGTTACTTTTTGGCGACTTTATCTTGTCGATTCTTAAGCGTTCCTAACTTCTGATATCTAGCGTTTTTAACACAACGACCTGTGTTATGCATAAAACTGCAGCTATGTCCCTCTGAGACATTCCTTGTGCCACAAGACCAATAATCTTTCCCCTTGCACAACCGTTATCCCCTCATAAGGTATATTTTCATTTTTGAAAGCGAAAGTTAGTTTATTTATTTTCGTTCTACCTACAACTAAAACAAATAATCTATACCGTACTGGGCTGTGTTATCTGACTGTTTTATTCATCATCATCATCATCATTGGCTTTTACAACTCTTCGTGAGTTTTTGCCGCGTTTACTATTGCCTTCCATTGATTCCGATCCTGTGCTATTATTTCCCATGGCCTTACTTCCATCTTCTCCAGGTCTTCCCTGACAGCGTCTTTCCACCTTTTTCTAGGCCTTCCTGTCGATCTTTTACCATCTGGTCTTTCCCAAAACACATTGCTAATCAGTCTGTCGTCATCACTCCGTACCACGTGGCGTGCCCATCTTAATCTATTGGCTTTTATGTATCTTACGATGTTTCCTTTCCCGAAGAGAGTCTCTATTTCATTGTTGTATCTGCTCCTCCATTCATTTGTCACGCTGTCCCTGCAAGGACCATATATAATTCGCAGGATTTTGCGTTCCCATACTAATAGCTTATTGATTTCTTTCTTTCTCAATGTCCATGTTTCACTTCCATATGTCACTGCTGGTCGTATTATGGTTTTGTACATTTGGATTTTGGCACGCCTTGAGAGAAGCTTTGACCTCATTAGATGTTGAATGGCAAAGAATGATTTATTCCCCGCCAGTATTCGTATTTCAACCTCCCGTTCTCCTGTGTTTTCACTGGTAATTGTTGCTCCTAGGTATTTGAATTCTTTGACCACCTCAAAATTATGATCGTTTATGGTAATGTTTTGTCTTATTCGCTGTCGTTCCTTTTTTGATACGACCATGTATTTAGTTTTTTCTTCGTTTATTTTCAGGCCTACGCTTAGTGTTGCTTCTTCAAAGTTCGATACTATATCCTTAACTTCCAGTGTTGTCTGGCTGACTGTTTTATTGGTTTGTTTATTTTCAATAAAAACCTTTATCCTTCGCAACAACAACAAGTTTATTCAAAAGAAATAAATATTGGTTTGAAATACATGATTCCATATAATTTTGTTTGTGTGTATATTGATAATTCATTCTTATTTAGAGATAATAACATTCCTCTTATTTTTAATACCTGTAGGAATAGCGTGCGCAATATAAGTCATATTTTACGCAAAGAACTCAAAAATACTTAAATATTCTTATAAATTAATTGTAGGTGTTGACGATATGTTCATAATAATTGCATGTTGGGAAGAACTAACTGCAGAAGAAAAGAAATTACCGATGGAACGGAAAATAGCACTGACGCTTAAACACGCCGGTGTATCCATCACCATAACTTCAGTTACTGATGTGATAGCTTTCATTATTGGTTCCTCGACAGTAAGTATATGCATATCTAATTTATTAAATTGAATTAGTAAAAATCTTAAGATTTCTTACTTAGCGAAACTAAAATTGAAATATTTGTGTACTGCGCTTTTTACAATATATACAACAGATAGATTGATGAATTTATCGACAAGGAGAATCTACAATTTGCCTTCCACGACCTGTTGTCCACCATGGCAAATTCGCGAATTAGTTTCTAATACTTCGAAAATGAGTAAATAAATAAAGCAGAGAGACGTCTGAGATTTAATTTTAATGCAGGGCCACTGAAATTCGCTTATACGTATTTAGAGATGCCTATGTAATGTCCTATATAATTATTTTTATAATAAACTTTGAAAATAAGGCTATTATCGAGCACAAGTTAATTAAATCTAGCCCAAGTACTTTCGCTTAAAATAGCATCTTCAGGGGCATTTCGTCAAAATAAGAACTATCCGGCAAGCGTAGAATGTGGAAACATTAAAAATAACATAAATTGTACAAAACACTACACTAAAACGAGGACAAACAGTTTAAAATTACTTCTACGCTACATTCTCTGTCAGTATCTGGAGGGATAACACTACACTAAAACGAGGACAAACAGTTTAAAATTACTTCTACGCTACATTCTCTGTCAGTATCTGGAGGGATAATTATCCCTCCAGATACTAGAGGGATATTAATTATTAGATACTGACAGAGAGAGTATCTGGAGGGATAATTATCCCTCCAGATACTGACAGAGAATGTAGCGTAGAAGTAATTTTAAACTGTTTGTCCTCGTTTTAGTGTAGTGTTTTGTACAATTTATGTTATTTTTAATGTTTCCACATTCTACGCTTGCCGTATAGTTCTTATTTTGACGAAATGCCCCTGAAGATGCTATTTTAAGCGAAAGTACTTGGGCTAGATTTAATTAACTTGTGCTCGATAATAGCCTTATTTTCAAAGTTCATTTATTCGAGCATTCAACCTCATTTCATTCATTTTTATAATAAGTTATAATTTTATGACGGGAGAGATTTATTTTCAATCTACAGCTTCTACAGGCCTCATATGTCGCTCTGATGAGACCTAAGAAGGTCGAAATACTTATAAGCGGATGGCAGCAGTCCTCCATTGAAATTAAATCTTGAACATCTTTCTGCTTTATTAAATTGAGTTTTTCTACTTGTCTACATGTCTACTCCGCTATTTTCTTGGTTTCCTTCTGCACCTATAAAATAATATTATGTAAAACTTTGTACTGGACACTGTTCCATTTTGCTACGCTACTGAAGGCTTGAAATTTAATTTAGTATGGTTGGGATATTAGAAGAGACAATAAAAAGATTCAGAATCGATTCGAAGTACAGAGATGGAAATAACTGGTATTGGCACTAGAATAAATTATAGGGAAAATGAAGCCCGTTAAATGAAGATCTGGAGTTAGACAAGGAGATACCATCGCTACATGATATGTACAAGAAACAACACTGAGAGGAACTACTTATTTAAATAGGTGGATAATAGCTGAATCAAGGAATGTAAGCTATTGGTGGTCAGTGTGTAGTAGTGATTTATTGTATTTGGAATTTATAGGCTGTATATATCTCTAAACACAGAATACAAAATCATTACATACTTAAATCATTTGGGATATGCTCCAATGGAATTTTGATCTAATGCTCTGTCACCTCAGGGGGTTTCTAAGTCCTTAATTTGATGTCGACTATATGTATACACATGTAAATACATATCCCCAGGGTGCTCGTTACTGCATAGAATTATGGAACGTCTTCCATGTCGATATAGCCTTAACAATGACTTTCCTTTGTTTACTATGTAAGATATTATTATTTGGGGTGTGTTTTCCACTTTACAATGGATTGAGGTTGATGAATAAAACTTCAGATATTCGGAGGTACAATGGTAACACCAGCTACAGAGTTAAGTGTGAGGCATTAAGTCTGTAAGGGCCAGGGACTGATCCTAGACATTAATATGTCTTATGTTATGCTTATAGTCTTATGTTATGAATGGTGGTCAATAAATCCCGTCCATTAAAGATACAAGGACTGCTCGTCACTTTTTCTCTGTCGAACTTATGAAACGGGTTTATATTGCAGCGCGAAGTCTAGGTATCATAATATCTATGAACTGATACTTTTAAACCTAACTTAACCTAATCTAACTTGATATTTTTTTAGATCTTGCCATCTTTAGAATCGTTTTGCATCTACGCTGCAGCAGGTGTACTTATGACCTTTATATTTGCCGTTACGTTTTTCGTAGCGTGTTTTGTGATAGATCAACGACGAGTTGAATCAAATAGGCATGGTGCTTTTCCGTGGATTGTGTATCCTAACTACGAACCAAACCAGTGCAGTCAGAAAAATTTTACTAGTATAATATTTAATAAATTCTACTCTAATGTGATATTAACCACGCCAGGAAAGGTGAGTTGAGTTTGAGAAAAAGGCTACAGTATACAGTGTAGGTAAAATTTTATGGTCGGTATGGTAAAACTTAACAGGATATCTAACACAGATATAAAATCATATTTTCAGCGAATAGACAGAGATAACAATCATATTCCCCCTTGGTCTCCCCTCCATAAATCTTCTTGACACCCATTTTGCCTGTTAGTGAGACGATTAGTTCCGATCAGAGATATTTTACATATTCTGTGGTTCCGATCCTCATAAAGCTAAGAAACTAGAGGTGGGTCCTTTAGTTTTTTAAATTTTTATCGGAACCGTTTTTCGTAAACTGTAACTAGTTGATTGTTTACCAGTATTCAAATTAGCGAGTACACAAACATATTGGCTATTATCTTTTATGTGTATAAGTATTGAAGTGAAAGAAACTAACGAAGAATATATTTATTATAACTTGAAAAATAAATTAAACAATACAAATAGTACTTACATTTACATGGACTTAAGTCATCTTTATCAGTTTCTTTTTCTTGTACTAGTTAATTTTCAATAGTATAATATTCTTTTTCTTTTTTTTATAGAAGTAACCAGCTTCAACCATCAACTAGTTGATTTTAACGATTTTAACCGAAAATTTAGAGTTTAACACGGTTTAATTAGACTGCTGCCATTTTTCTGGAAACCATAATTCAGAAAACATCGCTTTTAAAATTAGTGAAATTATTATTCAGTGGGGTCTAAAACAAAAAGTAAATTTTATTTACGGACGGAGTTAGAAGAGGCAATCCGTTCCACATTGGTATCAGTTAATACAGACTTAGACCAAATCTAAATAATGAAGACTGGATTATTTTTTCGTAATTGTCCTAAATTTTACGGCCTTTTAAAGAAATAACAAGTACAATGAGTGGCCAAAAATGCTTGAATGATAGTTCAGTGATTGTTCTGGTACGCTGCCTGCAAAAATCTTGCAATAAAATTTTAGCAAACAGTAACCTTACATCCATAGTTAGTATCTGGCGTAGTACGGGTTTTTATTACTAATTACGGGATAATTACTAATCTCGGGTTTAGCAAAAAGATTTAGAGGGATAGAATACAGTGGCATATTGTCATTATGTACGTTTATGGATTCACGATTTAAAGTGCAGGGATTTTCTGATAAAAATGACGCTAAAAAACAAAAGAAAGAGTTAAGAAGCTGGTTACTTCTATAATTAAAGAACAAGAAGATTGTACTATTGAAAATCAACCAGTATAAGAAAAAGAAACCGATAAAGATGACTTAAGTCCATGGTGTATTTTTGATCAATTAATTGGACATGACTCATCTAAACGTACACCTGTAGCGAGAGTCCATTACAATGGTGGAAAAACCATCGCCATGTATCTCCTAACTTAACCACTATATTCATAAAGTATTGTAAATGTGAACACATGTTCAAAATCAGGTTTAATTTTAAATAAAAGAAAAACACGGTTAATAAGAAGTAAAGTAAAAAAACTTATGTTTTTAAATGTCAATTTAGACGATTCGTGATTTAATAATAACGTGTAATGTAAACGTAGGTACGATTTACTATTTGTATTGTTTAGTTTAGTTTTCAAGTTATAATAAAATCTTTTATTAGTTTCCTTCACTTCAATAAATATACAGATAAACGATAATAGCCATTATGTTTGTTTATGTAGGTAGTTTCTTACTTGAAACTACTATTAAAAAATCATAGTTACTTGTTTACGAAAATCGGTTTTGCGACGTCAATGACCCACCTCTATTCGTAAATACCTGTTTACGTTTTGATTCGGTGATTTGACCACGCGACACGCCACGTTGGCAAATAGTTTTGTACGAAGCTTTTTTATTTATATGCAGTTTAATATTTTTATTGGAAATAAGGCATAATGTCACTTTAAAATAAGCTTATTTTGATGTTTAGATTTTTAATTCGGAAATCGTTTTTAAAATACCAAACATTAATAAATTTTATTTATATAAAACGATTTCCGAAGTATAAATCAAAACGTTATATTACACTTATTGTAAAGTAAAATTGTGGCATATTCCCAATAAAAAACAATAAGCTATCATTTAAATCCATTTCGCCCAAATTTCATTATCTTGGAGCATTGTTCAAATGCGAAAAAGACAACAGGTCAAATAAAACCAATAAGTTTGGCAACGTTGAATTTCCCCTTTTTATTATATCCACTCCATATCCACTCATTTATGTTCGGTGATATAAAAGGCGGACACCTAATATATCTCTCTCTTTTTAAACAGTTGTTTCTCACTCCATCTCATGTAAGGTCCATACCGACCATAAACTTTTACCTATACTGTATATTGTTATAGTGAGGGACAAGATCTATGCGAAATTTTAAAAACCGACGTACTGGTAATCCTAAATTGATACCTATTGTAACACATACCCCCAGAGGAGTAACACAGACAACATTATCGCAGAGAGTGTTGAATTTTGAATTATTAATTTGTGTACTTTAATGTTTTTACCAATTGATCGAAATACTGATTATTTTTTAAGTAAACTACCTCATAATATAGTGTTTAGAAAAATTTACCTTCACCTTTTTTCAAAATTAAGACTGGCAAAATAAAATATTTTTTCAGTTACGAAAATAAAAATTTTCTTTTGGTGGATTTACAAATTTTTTTTATTAACCGTGCCAAGTTCGTCAATGAACACTTAATACTAATATATTATACAGTGAGGTCCTAAAGTAATGGATAAATGTAATTTCTACGTAATTATAAAGTAGATAAAAACTGCTAAACCAGGTCGATTTTTACACACAAAAATATACATAATACAATATACAAATTATCAATAAATATCTATCAACGTTCTAATATAATCGAATTAACAAAAACACCAATATATTTTTTTTCACACATTATTTACATTAATCCCTAACTTAAACATTTAGATGTATAGTGTATTTTTATGTATGGGAGAGTAATAAAACAATAAATTATGTATGCAAATCCCTAAACTGTTGATACGGGTGACACAATGAAAAACAGATATTTGTCAACAGGTTTACAGAAGTATATAGGAAAACAATTTTAAATTGAGTATGACCACCAGGTATAAAGGTTGGAGCAGAATAGAATACAATACTTGTGAGGGTTACTAATCCCTAAATAAGGTTGCCAGTGTCGGAGTGATGGAAGTTAACAGGTACTAATGAATTTGCAAGAAATGTAAGATGTTTATTTTATTGGTTATATATAACCAATAAAAGTTTAATAAGTACCTACCTATTTGCAAAATAAAGTTTAATTCTTTAGATAAAATAAAACGTTTTATTTTATCTGAAATGAGTGCATTCCACGAAGTAAGGGTTTCAACAATCAAACATTTAATTCTTTAATTCCAGGAATCTACGACAGTAATTGACTAGATAATTACCTTCTAAACTTATTCCACAGAAAATGTGATAGTGGGTTTTTCTATTTTGTAGGAAGGTCCAAGTGGTGTATTCAAAATTCTTAACAGTTCACTAAAAGTAGGTACTTCAGTTGCAAGGTGCAGTTTATTGTGTATACTAGTGTTATGGAAAATTTGGAAGTGCCGTGTAAACGCCGAAAAATTGGTCCTTTAACAGTTAATGAAAAAACATTAATATTTAATTGTTTTAAATCATTAACAGACAATCGTTTATGTGAAAGTGTTGATGAGACCGTTGAGTTAGTTAGTAGTACACTTGGTGTTGGGAAATCTACGATTTATAGAGTTATTAAAGAAGAGAAATGTGGTAGTTTTCAAATGCCACGTAATGCTCCAGGGAAACCAAAATTTCAAATAGAATATCATTTTAAAGAAGGACTTCGACGGAAAGTGCATGAATTCTTCTTTAGACAAGAATTTCCAACATTGGATAAAGTTCGAGATGATAAGGATTACCCAGAAATGAGTCGAAGTACGTTATGGAAACTTTTAAAAGAAATAGGCTTCCGCTGGAAAAAGAATCCCAGAAAGTCTATTTTATTAGAAAGAAGCGATATTGTCATATGGAGAAGACATTTTCTAAGAACCATAAAGGAAATGAGAAACCAAAAAAGAAAAATATTTTATCTTGATGAAACATGGATCAACGAGGGTCATACGCCAAATAAATTTTGGCAGGATGAAACTGTTACAAGTCAAAGGCACGCTTTTGTAAATAACTTATCTACTGGTTTAAACCCACCATCAGGAAAGGGACGCAGGCTGATAATAGTACACATTGGCAGTTCCGACGGTTTTGTTGAAGGTGGTTTATTAACTTTTGAATCAACTCGTACCGGTGATTACCATGTAGACATGAACGCTGATGTCTTTCAAGAATGGTTCGAACAAATGATAGATCTTCTTCCTAAGAACTGTGTAATAGTAATGGATAATGCAAGTTATCACTCCAGACTTATAGAAGGACTGCCCACAACCAAGTGGTTAAAAAAAGACTTGCAGAATTGGCTGAGTTCAAAAAATATTACGTACCATCCCGGATCTAGAAGAAAGGAACTTTATTCGTTGGGTGCCCTTCATAAAGAAAAATTTTAAAAATACGAAATTGATGAAATTGCCAAAAAATCGTGGAATGACAGTACTTAGATCCCCACCATATCATTGTGAATTAAACCCGATTGAACTGGTATGGGCACAGATAAAGAGTGAAGTTTCAAGAAAAAATACCACTTTTAAAATTCATGATGTTAAACAGTTGTTTTTGGAGGCCGTAAATAATGTAAAACCTGACAACTGGGAAAAGGCAGTAAATCACACTATTAAAGAAGAGGAAAAAATGTGGAAGCTGGACAATATTACTGATAAAATGATCGAGCCAGTTATTATAAATCTTGGTTCTGAAAGTTCATCTTCTGAATCTGATTTGGATTTATAACAAGTAGCTGTAAGTTTTATATTAATATTTTTATTCATCTATTTAACATACCTTAGACGGTTTTAAAAACTCTTTTTCTCTTTTGTAATTTTTAAAAATTAAAAAAAATGTGAATTTTTTAAAACCCTTTTTAATGTAGGCCAGTCAGTTCTAATATAGTGTGGGATAAAAGAGGTCACTTTTGTTTACATACACATAACACTTTATAACACTGAAATAATTCATTTATTTTTTACAATTATTCAAAGTAATTTTTCAATTAATCTTGAGCACGCCCATGGAGTGGTCGGAGATACCAGTTAAAATTATGCTAATTACTCTCTCGTTCATAAAAATAAACTATAGCAACTAACTTCATGCTGTGAGTATGCGCGTACTGTGTTCATACTGTGAATTTTATAAAAATTCACTCACTTATCAATTTTTTATTTACTTACATGTCACATGCGATGCCACAAAAAGTTAACCATTGGTTTTTTTACTATTATAAAATTATAAATTAAATGGTGTACTAGCCACATCTGAAATCGGAAATTCACATTCATTTGGGATCTTCCAGTTATTCCAACTCATCGTCATTATCGTTCTCTTCATCACTCTCAGCCAAATTAATAATAATTTGGCTGAGAGTGATGAAAAGTTTTACTTCTTTTTGTGTATATCAATAAATTAGTGTTCATTCACGTACCCACAAAACAAAATGTCTACTTATTTTCGTAACTGAAAAATATTTTATTTTGCCAGTCCTAAATTTAGAAAAAAGAATGAACGCAAGTATTTTTTTAACAGTATATTACAAGATTGTTTACTACTAAAAACCATTGTTCCGATCAATTTGTAAAAACATTTAAACAAACTAATAACTAATCATTCAAAATTCAACACTGCTCTGGTAATTTTATTTGAATGTTGGATAAAGGTTAGTCCAACTCTGTAATGTCTCTCTAGGAGTCTGTGTTACAATAGGTATCAATAGCGGATTATCAGCAGTTTGGTTTTTAAAATTTCGCATAGATCTTGTCCCTCACTATACCGCCAAATTGTTTAGTATATATCGTATGTTTTGTAGATACCCCCAAATCTATAGCCTAAAATATATTTGTAAAGTAGATATGACTAATTCACTTTAGTATTTTCGAAAAAAAGTGTAGATACCCCCTTTTCGCTTAGAAGATCAGAAGAAACATCATTCAATATTAATACTTATTTTGTTTTTAGATAGCTGTGATAGTAATTAGTATTATCTGCGCTGGATTTAGCATAGAAAGTTGTATGAAGTTAGAGAAAAAATTCAATCCCGAGTGGTTTATACCGGAAGGGACGCATCTCGGAAATTTTTTTTCGGCCAGAAATACATACTTTCCTTTAGTTGGATTTGACGCTGGCTTGTATATGGGAGCAGTAAATTATTCACACGAATTGACAAATATTAAGAGGGCTGTTGACAAATTAAATGAGATTAGTAATACTACTGAAAATGTTGTATCGTGGGTAGATCCTTTCAGAGACTTCGTTATGTTCAATTTTCATCATGGTAAGTATACGCAACATTACTATTGTAGAAATGTGAAATGTGTAGAAATGAGAAATTTCTGGCTATAATATTACTTGACAAGGATGCTATCATTACATTATTATCTCATATCATATTTTACCTAAAATTTAATCTTTTCATTTCATGTGGTTCTGTTCATTTCACGAATCTGGTTTTATGTATCAAGTTTCAACATGTTGTAGGTTGCTATCGTACGCAATATTTTCAACCACATTGTCTCATGGGCACTACATCACTATTCAAAATAATTAAATTACAGCAAACAACATTCCACTAACTAATAAACAACACTCTACACACTACTAACGAACTGCTACATCACTATTCAATTTCAAGCAAATTCAAATTTCAGCAAACACTCTACGCTTTACAAACGAACTGCTTCCTAACTAAAATGCTTGGCACAGACATCCGGTCGACTATAAAAAGAGGGGATTAAACTTCGCCGCATTTAAAGCGTTCTAAAATATATACTCAGTGACATTAGAAGTGTTACACCCAGAAGGAATAATTTCGTGAACTTAATTTTTTGGCAACCGAATGACTATATTTAGAGCATGCTATGATAACATTACCAATGTTTTATCTTTTCTACTTTTTGTAAAAATAACGTTTTACCTTTAAACTTTTTGTAAAGAAACCGATTTGTGGAAACGGGTTCATCTAGAAATTTTTAGTTATTATTTCTTAGTCTAATTGTATTCAGTGTAAGAAAATTCCTCTAGTTTGAAGACACCAAAATTACCACCATGTTAGCGATTTTGACAGGGGTAGTTTTATTGCGAATAGAGATATGGGTTTCAGCTCCAAGAAGCTGGCGTTAATGTTTTGAAGTGGCTGCCTGGTGCTCTGGATTTAAAACCTATCGAACATGTATGGGATATGATGAGAAGGAGACTGTCCACTTTGCACCATTATCCACAGACTTTGGCACAGTTAATACATTAAATTCATGTTGCTTGGGACGAGTTGCCACGTGCAGACATCGATCATCTCATTTTGTCAATGCCTAGACGTATACAGGAATGTATTCAGCTACGGGGTCGCCAAACACATTATTCTTGAAAACGTTTTCGTTTCATTCTTGATGTAAATCTACCATGTTGCCAAAAATAATTAAGTTCAAGAAATTATTCCTTCTGGGTGTAACACTTCTAATATCACTGAGTATATTATGTTACCGCAACTATAATATAAAACTAAATACACTTACCATAAAAATATCATTCATTGCCATAGTGATACCAGATTTACGTTACTACTCGTATTTTTTATATCTCAAGATATGTTTAAAGTTTTCTAATATTTTTCAGATGTGTTTATTGAACCTTTGGATGATGATCGGTTTTCCATATTTCTAACAAAATTTCTCATGAGCCCCAAATATGCGCAATATCAAGGAAATTTTATTTTTGAAAGGGAGCTTGAATGTGGAGTTCCAGCACCAAAAATTAAGGTAGTATGTTTTTATGTTGTTTCCATATATTTCTCTAAACAAACAATAAATTTTATTTCAGTTATCTACAATTGACTTCTTCTTTAAAAAATCATCTGAAACGCAACAGCAAATATCGGCGATGTATCAAGTTAGAGGTATAGCTGAAAATATTAATTTTACTTCTGGAGATAGGTTCGCAACGGTATGGTCGAAATTTTTTGCAACGTGGATTACAGATGAGGTATATATTGTAGATATTCTATCATATTGAAAAAATTGTCATCATAAACTAAGATCTTACCGTATTATAACTTTTATTTCACTTTTTGGATGGGGAAAAAGCATTGAATACGTTGAGACAGGAAAAACAAGCATGAAGAAATTGCCAAAAGGACATTACATCATATTTCCGCTGTTATTGGTCCGACTGGAGCATATATGCGTTAAATGAAAAAGTAACGGGATAAAGATTATATTAAGTAATAAAAAACAGACAAGATGACTACCAAACGGGTACTACACAGCAGCTTCTTTATCAAGAGTGTATCGCTGCATACGAGATACCATAGGGCACTATGGATAAAAATAGATTTACTATAACACAATTTTGGATTTATTGGCTTAAAGAAGGCCTCTGGCTGAGCACAACGTAAACAACTGATCTAATTCTCACGTGCGACATAGCAAATGAAAGGGGACGACATAACGAATATATTAAGATAGGAAAAACAATTAAGACGAAAATTTTTTCCAAAATTCTTAATTTTATTTAGACTTTACAATTTTAGCGTTGTGATTTACTTAGTTTTATACAAATCAGTATATATTATTATTTTTTAAAATATTGTTATTAAAAATAATCCTTTATAAAAGGTATACTTATTTAAAAGAACCCACAGAACGCTTTCGGAAGAAATATTCCATCGTCAGTGTTGCTACTAGGTATAAATGTTTAAAGCCACTAAATACATGCGGGTCGTATTAAATTTGAAATTATTATGAAGGGCCAGAAAACTCGACTCGTTCAAAAAAAGTTTATTTTAAAAAATAGTATACAAACGAAATATTATTTACAAGTATTTTATTATGGTTTACAATTTACATGTTATGTTTAAAATTTAACATAAAATAAAAAATGAATTCGATATTTGAGGCAAGGGTTTATCCTCTACTAACTGTTTCACATCTATATCTATGCTAGTCGTAGTGAGTCTAATACACGCTTCCAGAGAATCGTTTTCCATGCGATGACGTGTTTTAGATTTAATATGCTTCAAAGCAGAAAACGTACTTTCACATATTGTAGCGAGATTAAATAAAACGAGCGGTTCGAATTTATATAAATATATTTATTTATAACTTTACAGTTCGGTACTATCTTATCAACTAAACTAACTCCTAAGATCGTTACATATATATACCAAAGTTACTATCTTCTAGAAAGTTCCCACCTCTAGGCGTACGTGACTGATGTTTCTGGAAACATCGAGTCGCTTTCGAGATGCAGCCGCTATACGGGGATACGCTAAATGCGTGTTCGTAACACTGCTTCCCTCTTAGATCTGAGCGTCCCGATCAGCAACTCTATATGTAGGCCCAGGATGGCGGAATCTACAGGACTCTCCAGCTCTGCATGAACCCCTCAGAAAGAAATAACAATCTATTGTCTTTGAAGGACACAATCTCTTTTAATTAGTGCAACACACAGTAATTCGTATGCCGGTTTCTCGGAAGATCACTTCAAGCATGCTTCTGACAATCCTCCAATCCAGATTATCTAGTGCATGGCCTATCTTGGGTAAGGCCAAATTCTTAATGTAATTGCAGACGATTTTCTTCAAATTAGTTAGAGCACGCCATATATCCTCGTAGGTTGCCCCATCTGTATACGACTTCCTGGTCACCATATACAGCAAAGATCGAGAACCATCTTCTAATCTCAATACTTTTCCAACTTTAGGCTGCTGGTTTTTTAACTCGTCCAAACGACCGAACTGCTTATAAAATACAGATGAGATTCCTTTAGTCATCTCAAGATCTTGGGTAACATAGTGGACTAGAGAGACGTTATGCGGAACACTAAAAAGATCCTGCTCAACTTCTGTCGTCACGCCGAATCTAGCACTCTTTCTCTCTGCGTAATTTGACATAAACTCGTTAAAGCTTGGTCGCCGATCATCTTTGATCTTATTTTGAAGGGTTCGGACTTCTTCGGTTTCATTTGAGCCAGCATAAGGTGCAATACGATTTATGTGAACTACTTTAGGTTTACCTTTCGGCAACTTCTTAATTCGTTATATTACGTCTTTTATTCTCTTTTTAATTTCATATGGACCCTCCCATTGTCTTTGCAGTTTAGGAGACAAGCCACGACGACGTTGTGGATTATAAAGCCAAACAAGATCACCTACTTCATAGTTTTCATTCTTGCATCGAGAATCGTATTGATCTTTCATTCTGTCACTGGCTAACTGGATGTGTTGTCGGGCAAGTTCATGAATGTTGTTCATTCTTAACTTTAGGCGGTCGACATAATCTTCGCTTGCAACATGTTCTTCGGAAGGTCTGCAGCCAAACTCTAGGTCGCAGGGCAAACGAACTTCACGACCTAACATCAGGCAGGTTGGAGTCTGGCCGGAAGTTTCATTCACGGCCGAGCGGTAGGCCATTAGGAATAAATGAATGTGCTGGTCCCAATCTCTTTGATGTTCTGATACAACTTTGGACAGGTGTTCACCCATTGTTCGGTTCATTCTCTCGACCATTCCATCTGATTGAGGATGCAGGGGTGTCGTTCTGGTCTTATTAACACCAATCAATTTACAAACGTTTTGGAAAAGGTTTGACTCAAAGTTTCGCCCTTGGTCGGAGTGGATCTCCAAGGGAACACCAAATCGGCTAAAGACTTCTTTAACCAGTTCCTCTGCAACGGTAGCAGCTTCTTGATTCGGTATCGCGTAGGCCTCAGTCCATTTCGTAAAATAATCCATAGCTACCAGGATATATTTATATCCATCATTCGTCTCTGGAAGTGGACCTGCAATGTCGATTGCTACTCTTTCCATAGGACTACCAACATTGTACTGTTTCATAGGTGCCCTCTTTTTACCAACTGGACCATTACTGGTTGCACACAGTTCACATTTCCGGCACCATCTTCTTTAATCATCTTTACAATTCACCCAATAGAACCGTTCTCGAACCTTTTGCAGTCTTCGTAATACCAAAGTGTCCACCTGATGCACCGTCATGTAACTTGCGCAATACTTCTGACACTTTACTTTTAGGTACAATCAACTGAAGCTTAGATTCTGTACCATCATTGTTCTCAAAAGTTCTATACAGAAGATCATCTTTTAGCACTAGGCAATTCCATTGGCTCCAGTAACACTTCACTTCAGGACTACATGCACTAATGTCTTGCCAAAAAGGTCTTTCACTTCGACGCACCCAATCCAATACTCTTTTTATACATGGATCATCTGCTTGAGCGTCTTGTAGCTGTTGAGGCTGCCATTGATCATTAATAACGGTGGTTCGCCTCACGGGGCAAAGTCGTTGTTCTAATTCAAGACAATGATTACGATTTACACTGTATGGCCGTCTTGACTGAGCATTAGCATTTGAATGACTTTTTCCCGCCCAGTGTTCCATCTGTTCTGGCTTTCTGACTGTTGTATTATGTTCTTGTAATTTACGACGAATGTGACCTTCGTTGTTACCATTCCAACATCTGGGTTCACGTCTCTTCGGCATCATGTTACGAACTATTTTCCGTACGATTTCCTCCAGACGTTTATCGTTTCGTTCGTCATTCTCTTCAGACGTTGGTACTTGATAGCTCCGTGAAACTCGACTAGCTATCTCGTGTTCCAAGGCAATGGCGAGCGCTTCATCTAAAACTTTTGGTCTTGCTAGTCGTAAAGCTTTCTGTAGTTCACTGTCTCTTAACCCATTGACGAAGGCATCTACAGCAATGTCTTCCAAAATGTTGTCTGGTGCCTCTGGATAGGCCAACAGCGCTATACGAGCAATATCTGCTTCAAATTCTTGCAAACTCTCACTTGCTCGTTGGATTCTACTTCTTATTTGTACTTTGTAGACTTGTTGTAGATGGGCATCTCCGTAACGTTTGTCTAGTCGAGTGAACAAGGTCTGGTAACATTTTTCTTGACCCTTAGGAATCGATCTTAGGATATCTGCGGCATCACCTCGTAAAGCAGCAGTCAAGGAAACAGCCTTTTCTTGTTCTGTCCAATGATTGGCTGTCGCAATAGCTTCAAATTGTCTAAGGTATATGGACCAAGAAGACTTTCCATCAAATGGTGGCAATTTGAATCTTATATGATGTATCGTTTCGTCTCTAGGTAATTCTTCCTTTACTACCGGATCTAAGACTACCGTATTAATTGGTGGTAGCACTTTCGTGTTAGTCATCATGGTCTCTAATTGTTTGATCTTCTCTTCTACGTTGTTTACATTTTTCTGTATCTGATCGAATGTTTTAGAGACTCCTCAAATTTCTCATTGTTCTTTTTAGAAGTTTCTTCCATTATTTGAGAAACAATTTCAAATTTCTCGTCAAATCTTCTAGACACATTTTCGAGTTTCTCGTCATTTTGTCTAGCTACTTCTTTAATAATTTGTGAAGTCTCGTCGAATCTTCTAGATACATTTTTAAATGTTTCATCAAATCTTTTGGAAACGTTCTCTAATTTATCATCATTTTTTTTTGAAGATTCTTCAATCATTTGCGACACAATTTTTATTTTTGTTAAAACTGCTTCTTCTGCTGACTGGAACTGGAATGTCTCTGGGTCGTCTCCATTTTTGTTAAGAACAGTCTTCAGTCGTTTTTGGAGTATCTTCTTGGACCCGCTGCAGTCTTCATCGCATTCTTCTAGTTGCTCACGCAACTGTTTCACTGAAAGTTCTACTAGCAGCATCTTTGGTCAGGCACACACGTACTTTTTTTAAAATGTTCTTTAGTACAAAGTTCACTACCGAACTACGCGAATGTTTCCGACGAACAATAATTTTTAAAAGTTCAAAAGTCTTTTTCAAAAATCACTGTTGGATTTATATTCAAATCTCACACCGGACACCAACTGTAGCGAGAATAAATAAAATTTCGAATTTATATAAATATATTTATTTATAACTTTACAATTCGGTATTTCTAGATACATCACACTGATGTAGGATATTAAAGTTTTAAGTAGAATCACTTTATACAATTATGTAGGATGTTAAAATTTAAAGTAGATCCATTTTGTGGCAACTAGATGTAATCTAATACCAATTGCATAATATTTAAAGGGTTTTCACCCATACATTAAGTGGCATTAAACATGTATACCTAATAGCAGCACCAAAGATGGAGTATTTATTGCGAAAACGTTATGTGATTTAGCCCGTAAGGGTTCTTTTAAATAAATATAACTTTTATAAAGGTTTTTTAATAAAAAAATTTCTGATATATGGAACCGATTACAGGAAATTAACTATTTTCTTGTGAATTTATTTTTAGTTAATTGGTATAGAGGTACTACGGAATCTCCAACTAGCTCTCTTATGCGTGATGCTGTGTACAATTCCTCTAATAGCAAACTGGCAAATAAGCTGTCTTATATTTTGCTGCGTTCTAATCACAATGGTAGACGTATGTGGCCTTATGCAACGCTGGGGTGTCAACGTCGATCTCGTCTCATGTATTGGACTGGAGTTGGCGATTGGGTTGTGTGTAGATTACGCTACACATGTCGGACATACATTTTTGACGGTTTCCGAAGGAAATAGGCAAGAACGTGTAATCAAAACGGTTACTTCAATCGGATCTGCTGTTTTGTATGGAGGTTTATCAACTTTTATTGGCGTATCTATGATGAGCTTCTCGAGGGCGTACACTTTTCAGTCATTTTTTAAGGTGAGTTCCAAAACTAATGTACATATGATCATTTATTTTTAAAAAAAGAACAATAGATATGCACTGCAAAGCTTGAAGGTTTACCCTCCAAAATGGGTCTAGCCGGTTAAGATAGTAAAAAATGCCCCATCGGTATTTTAAAAATAAAATATTATGTTCTATATCAAAAAGTATCCAACCAAAAAAAATTTTAGACCCCTAGACCCAAACATTACCTTCAAAAAAATAAACATGTTTTTTCGTTTTTTGACGATATCTTCGTTACTAATCATGGTATAAACTCAAGCTTTTTTTTTAATTTGTAGGATATTAAAATAATAAATAATTTGTAGGATATTAAAAAAAAAGTTCCAATATTCATAGTACTTTTACATTGCATGTTGTTTCAAACTTGTTTCTTTTTCCGTGGGTGGGTAGTTAACCCTACGCTCAACCCTCCTCTTTTATCCGGGCTTATTATATATATATATATATATATATATATATATATATATATATATATATATATATATATATATATATATATACGATTGTATTGTCTCGTGTAAAACCAAATAAACACTTATCAACTTCATAATTTTTATTTGTTGAGATTGTGGAGGAATTAGGATAAGATTGTATAGAAAACAATGATGAATGAAAATGAGTACAAATTGTGAGATTGGCGAATGGATTTTAGTGTCCGCAGTCATTTAAATACAAACAAACAACAATAATACGTAAATAACGTATATCAACTTTCCCCATAATAGTTTTCAAATATATAAAATAGATTTTCTCTAAATAAATCGAGTTTATTTGTTTTAGATCTTCTTCCTGGTTATCGTATTCGGATTGTTCCATGGAATTGTATTGCTGCCTGTTATTTTAAGTTTCATCGGTCCTTCTCCTTACAAAAAGCACAAGAAACCTGCCGTAGAAGAGTCAGAACTTAAACCTCTGGACAGCTGACAGTTAACGACTTTAACAAACATCTAGAGATTAAGTAGGATTGATAAATTTGTTTAATAAAACAAAACTAAGTAATTGGGCCGTGTTAGCTTAATTAGAATAATGAGATTTTAATGACAGTTTTTGTTATGTTTAATAAAGATATTGTTTTTTAGAAGAGTTTTATTTATCTTTTTTTAATTATTAATCAAATAAAAATTATGAAAACTGTGTGTTAGTCTAACTTCCTTAACGATACGATTAGATGGTCAGTTGCCTTCGAAGCAACTAGGTAATATCGACGCTAGATACCTAAACTATTACATTTAAAGATAATTTCTCGATAAAAATTTCCCGTCATATTTGCTGCAGTAACCCAGTTTTAAACGGAATTTATACATGGTTGGAACTTACAACTAATCACCTACACTACCTACACGTCTGGCAAAGTTGCACAGATTAGTTAACCCTGAAATACTATATCGTGTGGTCAAATTTGACCCCACGTGCGCCACTGGTAGACAGTTTGGCAAATGAGCTTGTTATTCTATGTATTGTCCCAATTGTTTAGCGTGCCGCTTTTAGTATCAAACGATCAGTGGGATAGTGGACACGTGCTGATGAGTTCCGGTCGGATTTGACCCACCATAGTAGTTACGTTATTATTATTTAAGATAATTATTTAAAATGGCTTTAAGAATTAGCGAAAGTACGGAATGTTTTTGACTTTCTCGAATTCCTGGAGGAACCAACCGAGAATATTGACACTTATAGTGACTCTAATAACAGTGATACTGACCGTGAAAGTGAACACTCGGATCACGAAACAGATTCAGAATTTGACTTAAGTGATTTTTCAAGTGACGAATGTTAACAGCACCTAATTATGAAACAATTTTTTACTATGGACGGAACAGATATAAGTGGGCTAAAAATGCTCCGGCACCATCAAAAACTCGCGTGCAGCACATTATTCCACGCCGTCCTGGACTTTGTGGACCTGCCTTGGAAAGAAAACCATCAAGTCCACTTATATCTTAACCACTTCTTATAAAATCCACAAGGAAAATAATTCCCGCATCTGGCTGTATACCACGTATCACAAAAAAGAGGTTAGATCTTTGTAAATGGGTGTATTTAAAAAAACCCTTAGAAGGGATACATCCATTACACGAACGTTTTCGGAATAATAATTCCATCATCAGGTTTAAAATGCCTAAAATAAGTATAAACCATTTAGTTAAAGCAAACGTGGTTTAAAATTTTGACTAAGGTTAAAAAAAAGAGCAAAAATGGTTATACTTACAAATTAACATGCCTGAGCCACCAAAATATCAGGGTGAAAACCCTTAGTTTAGAAGAAAGAATACCAGCACGATGGAAGAATAATACAAAAGAGGGGACAAAACAAAATGCGCGAATTATAGAGGAATCTCACTTCTAAACACGGCATATAAAACCCTCTCAAACATCATTCTTAGTAAATTAACCCCTTATGCTGAAAATGTCCTAGGCGAATATCAAGCCGAGTTTAGGGCAAACAGATCAACAATAGATCAACTATTCAAGCTGAAACAACTTCTAGAAAGGGATGGGAGTATAACAGACCCATACACAACCTTTTCATAGACTTTCGACAGGCATATGATAGCGTAGAAAGAAGCCAAGTATGGAATGCCATGGCGGAGTTCTCAATACCAAAGAAACTCATTCGGATGACCAAAGTCTGTATGGAGGGTGAAATATCTAAAGTACGTGTAAATAATAAACTGTCTGGCAGCTTTGAAATCAACAGTGGACTTAAACAGGGTGATGCGTTATCTCCACTACTTTTTAACCTTGCATTAGAGAAAGCCATGAGGTCGGCCGAAATAAAAATAGAATTGCTATCGGTTCAAGGTCAATGTCCCAAGCTGTCACTCGCATATGCAGATGACAGATTCCGTTGGAGACTCCATCCTATCAACTAAAGACATTTTCAACAAGATGGAAGGAGCAACAAGTGAAGTAGGGCTGAAGATTAATGAAGAGAAGATGAAATATATGTGTATAAATAGAACGACACGAAGAGACAGAATAGGACAAAATGTCACGGTCAACACCTTCAATTTCGAAAGAGTACAACGTTTTTTTAAGTATCTGGCGGCCGTAATCACAGCTAACAACGATGTCTAACAAAAATCTCACAAGAAGTTCAAAGATCAAAATCTATAAATCCATCGTCAGACCTGTAATAACATACGAATGCGAAACGTGGACCACGACCAAAGCAAACGAAGAAAAGCTCAGACACTTTGAACGAAAAATACTAAGACAAATTTTCGGACCTCACCATGACATCACCATAAACCAGTATAAGATCAGAAGCAATATCGAATTAAAAGCACTCTACAACGACGCCGATATTGTCCAAGAAATTAAATCACAGCGACTAAGATGGGCAGGCCACGTGCACAGACTACACAACGAAAGACTTGTGAAACTGGTATGGGGGGAAATTCCCACAGGTAAAGGACCACTCGGACGTCCCAGAATGCGATGGAGAGATAACATCCAAGCAGATCTCCGGAAAATGAACATTCCATTTGACCCTAGGTTGATGGAAGACCGAACAAAGTGGAAAAAAGTTGTACAGTCAGCCAAGACCCACCCAGGGTTGTAGCGCTACGTGATGATGAATACAATCGTATCATATGTACCTAAAAAAATAAAAGTGTAATTATGTTGTCGTTCATACATCGCGGCAAATCTGTTGACCAGGAAAGTATTATCAGTTGATCAAAAATGTGCACTTTATTGCTCAGGTCGAAAATGCCAGCGATGGCCTTTAGTAGGTAATTTGATATTCTATAATGGATATTGCTATAGTAAACAGTAACATTATTTTTCACGCGCTAATCCTGGGGTTAGAAAATATCAATCAGATTTTATTCAAGAGCTGGGAATCAGTGTAATAAATGAATATGTAGAAGTAAGATTTGCAATGCCAAATTTTTTTAGAGAATTACGTTTGATAATTTCCAAAGCATTAGAAAATAAAATTACTCAAGATCAGTCTAGACCAGAAAGGCGCCAGTTGTAAGACGTAGAAGTAGATGCTCTGTATATACTATATTATTTATCTATGGTAGATGCTACTAGCATCGAAAAAGTTGTATTAGTGTACTAGTACTACTAGTGTCCCCCCAGAGGTAACGATAACAAACTTTTCAAGAAATGAACCGTTAATTTCAATTTAAGATATATTTTTTTGTTATAATTAGTCATGTTTTTGATCAGATCAAAATTTCTTTTAAATGTATTATAATATATATATTATTTTATAGCTTGAATATCAATCATCGTCATCAGACCACTATTTTTATTGAAGGCTTGCAGCTGCTTTGTGGCCAATGACGTTTTTATTTTAAATGAGATGAATATTAAAATTTTGAAATAATCTCTTATTTTGGTCTATAATTATAAATTATAGATCAACAACCTATAATATCTAACATAATATAAAAAATGCTTTTTCTTAAATGATGTCAGTTAGCGTCGTAAGCACAAACCAATGTATGGTAATGGTTTGTGGTCGTAAGTGTTACGTTGCGTAGCGTAGCGTCGAAATACCCAGCAATCTGAAAAAATGCCTAGAAAATTTGACGTATGACACAGTGACAGGAAGTAGAAAACGACGCCATCGGTCGACACGTAAATCAGAAAAACGCTTCCTCCTTTCCTTTTTGTTCGCTGTTTATAAGCACATCCTCCATTTTGTTGTTGAACCAAAAAGGTTAATTGTATGTTTTATGTAATTATTAAACGTTAATGTTATAAGAAAATGAGTGATTATTCTGCGGTTGCTCCGCCACCACAAAATTTTAATCAATCTACAGCATTTGCAGCGGCTGTCCAACGTGCTAAACAGGTAAGCCATTTATAATTAGCGGCAAATGTGCTTGGCTTTTTATAACCTGTTTTTCTAATCTTGACTTTATCAGTACATAGAATGGTAAGTCCGTTATGGTTTTTATAGCTTAAATTATAACCTTCCTTTTGGTTTTAGATTGCGGCTAAAATTAATCCAGGAACCACCGGCAACGATAGTAGGCCGAAAAGACCTTTGGAAGAAGCTGCAGGTATGTTGATACTTATTCAGATTATTTTACTTACCTAATTAGTAGATGAGTTTGATGTAGAACCGGATGCGAAAAAAGGACCAGCTTCTTTGGTATCTTCACAAAACCAAGCCCCCCCTAATATGGGAAGACCTCCACAGAACCAAGGAATGGGTGGAGGCGGCGGAGGCCCCCCTGGCATGCAGCAAGTAAGCGAAGACATTAAAGTTCCAGATAAAATGGTTGGCTTAAGTAAGTACCACTAATACTTTCAAATATATACAATAGCAAATTGTTTTGATATATATGTTATGTCCATAATTAGTCAAACACCATAATGAAAAAATCTGTCATATTAGGTTTCCTTCAAACAGTTATTTTGGGGTAAATAAACATTAAATCTGAATGTGACTTCACCTATTTGTAATACTATTTAGCCTTGTTCTAATTGTTGTATCTATAATGATTTCAAACATGCAATCATCAACTTCAACATCTAGGTAAATATTATTAAAAAAGTAGTAGATATGATCATTTAATCTTCAAATGGTAGTTATATCATGAAATCGTGTTAGTTTTTGATAATAATCTAATAAACCAGAACATCCATTTTTGGAGATAGGTCTACCTACTCCTTTCTATGTTATTCTCTGTACTGTTTGGTGTGGTCTTCCTATCTTGTGTATGCTCAGTGATTTTCTATTTTTATGTTTTGTTTCTTAACAACTCTTATTGACAATAATGTCAAATGAATCAAAAATGTAGAACACACACTGCTTGAAGACAGTCTTATTGTATTTACTTCGTTTTGCAATTTACTCACAAGGTTTTGTCTTCAACTATTTGTTCCTTGTTGGTTCATTTTACTATAATTTTAACATTTTCTCATGGTTTTAGTTTTATCGAAGTTAAGAAAATTGAATAACCAGAAATACAATATTACATAAAATTATCTTCCTCAATTACATCCTATTTTTGGATTTTTTTTCAGTTTTCTATGTTCACATTATTATTACCTATTTTAAGTTCTTGTTTTTCTCGTTTTTTTTCCTAGTCTTTGTCTGTAATGTTATAGTTTGTGGCTATTCACCATAAATTGATTTTATGTAGAAAAAATGCTAAATATATGAATATACCACATACCCTAAAATGAACCAAATTGGGATATCAAGTTCTTCAAAATGCAAAAAACTTGTAGTTTGGCATTTTGAAATTCCGTAAATAAAGCTTTATATTTGAAGAGACCTGGCTGTCAACTTGACAGCACCAGAATAAATACATTTTATGACTAATGACATTTTGGTGTTTATTATTTAAACGTGTTTAACTTGTGCTAATGTAATGTTTTATTTGTATGAAAATAAGGTGTCACATTTGACTGAGTTTGTGGTGAAAAATTGCCAATTGTATTGTATAAATTAATTTTCTTGACATTTTGGTGCACAAGCTAAACAAATACTTTATTGATAATGTAATTAACCAAGAGGTTTGTAAGTAGCCTTTTATTTTTTTAAATTCATATTGATTTTAGGGCAAAATGACTTTACTTGTAGGTTTTATTTAAACAAGAATGGAAAATTTTGTTTAAATAATATCTAAAATATGTTTCATATATGAAGAACTTTGTAGAATTATGTGCATGTTGGGTCTTGAAGAAATATTCACAGGGTGTTTAAGTTTATCATATGTGGCTTTTTTACAGTGATTTAAAATTGGCAAATGGTATATTTTTGGCACGATTAAAGAAATTATATTTAACATTGAACATCTTATATTGAACATTTTCTTTGACTGTTCTGTTCTGTACAGTTTTGTTCCTATTATATTAATCTAGAGGTGAATCCAAATATTCCTTATTTTGTTCTTTCCATATTTATGCCTTCTATGTATTCCTTCTATGATTTAATGAGCCCAAGGTATTCATTCTTTTATTTAACATCAAAGGTTAAATACTTTACAAAATAGTTTTTCTCTTAATATCGGGCATAGCAGGTCTTCAAGTTACACATACAGATTACCAATTGTAATGTGACCAGTGATAAGCCTTAAAAAATAAATAGCAAAACCATATTTTAATGTGTTAAACTTATGGTCAATGTTTTTAAATATATGGAGAAATAAAAAAAAAATAGATGTTTAACATACCACTAGATAAGTTATATAAAAACAACATCGGCTTAACATGCTGTAACCTTTCCAGGTGTATTCTGCTTTCGTTTATCATTAAAACCTGGATCTATTGATGAGGCTACAGAATCTAAAGAGACATCCTAGATGTTTTGTTTCCCAAGTATTAGATACCATAGTATTACAATAACAGGCTAAGTTTTCTAAAGCTTTTATTTCTTTATATGCAATGTTATCTCTTTATAAATTTATAAACATATGACATATAATATATATTATGTCATTATCAAATCTGTCTGTACAAAAAACATGGCGGCTGATATAAAGTTCTATAATGACTATCTATAGAAAACAAAAAAAAAACAATTTTTATATTCATTTAATATCTTTTCTCTTAATATTACATTCATACTTAATTGTTTGCATTTTTTCCAAATACTTTGTGTTATACTGACCTACATTTGGTGAAAAAACTATCTCATTGCATGCTACAATTGGTGAGCTGTATACTGAACTTTTTGCATTAATTGTCTATAGATATGTAACACTTGTGCAGCACATTGTAGTTCCTTGTAATCATTCAGAGGTAAGATGATGTATAAATGCAGCATATCTGTCATGTTAGATATTCCAGGGATATTTTTCTGTCAATACTTTACAGGATACATTACCTTACTAAATTTATTGTTCACACTCCATCAAATGTGTTCATGCTCTGATATCTTCTAATTTTTGTTTATTTCTGTCTTTGCACTGTTATCAATACATCTGATTCCTACATAAATGCTATTTGTAAGTTTTAGTCAAAAACTAATGATGATTTTTTGCTAATTCTGTTTTGAACTGTATTTACCTGAAAAAATATAAATTATATACTCCATAGAATGTTGAAGAAGTGAACATGTAAATATAACAAGGGATCAAATGTTCTCTTGCAAATGGGAGAAACAGCGACTTTTATATTAACAGTCCTATGATGAGAGCATGAAAATTTATGTACATCATCTTTAGCAATGTATAAATGCCAAATCATCCAATATACAAATGCCAAAGTTTTCACTGAGGGGTAGTAAGGCAGTAATAATTCTAAGATTTTAAAATTTTATTACCTTTTGACACCTTTTAATTCAGTATCCAGTAAAAAAGAAAATTAATCATTTTATTGCTACTAAAATTAGGGTGTTTTCAAAATTAAATTCTGTTAATTTAAAAAAAGGTTTGAGTATTAGCTTGTATGAGCTTTTCACCACTTTGATTTATTTCATGCTTTATTTTTTTTAGTTGGTAATCTTTATGAATCTGATTTCAGATCTTGTTCCATATATTTTAATTTAGAGTCTTCCCTCCATTGGCCTTATTATTTTCTTTGGTATTTCATTCTTCTGCATCCATTCGACATAAGACACACTGTCTTTATAAATAATACGATGTCAGGTTCTTTGTACGAGCCCTAACAACTATATATTGGAAAAGCAGTTATTTTGCAAATGTAATGCCACGTTACTGAAACTCTTTTATTTAATTTGTATGATGTTTTAATTTATTTTGTGGCTTAATTATATATTTTATATTCATTACTATTAAATTAATTGTTTGATAATTTCAAACCGCAGACAACTAAATATTGAAACATTTTTTGCTTTCGCTAAAGAAATACACAATAAGGAATAGAGAAACAGAGATGAATGCTTCCCGAGAATTGTGTCACAAATATATCCACAAAAACGGCCTTGTTTTTATAAGGTATGTTTGATAGGTTCTTCTTTGTGATATAAATTTTCTATTGTTTGATTTATATTAGAGTAGATCAAAGAAAAACCATCGCTGGTGGAAACTCAAAAAAGGAATCGATACATTTGGGCTAAGTCAAAACTTTCGTGGACCAAACATAACTGGGACAAAGTTATCTATGGCAACAGAAAGCAAATTTGATATCTGTGTGGGAGATTATCGAAAGCATTTGATTCGGGAAAATGTGTGATTCAAGAAGCATTCTATAAGGATTTTCTCAAAAGAACTACAGAACTACATAAAGTTTCCACAGGGCATCATGGTGTGGGTTTGTATGTTGGTTTAAGGGTTGGGAACTTCACATTTTATTGAGGCTATGCATTTAAATGCAGCCAAATATCAAGATATCCTTGAATATTCGTTTTTACCAAGTGCAGCAAAGTTATATCTATCCAGTGATTTTTAATTTGTTAAAATCCTAATGTTCTAATATTTAGTTGTCAGCATATTTTGGCTATCAAACAACTAATTAAATAGTAATCAACATAAAATATATAATTAAACTGTAAAAATAATTCTATGAATGATAAAAAATGTTGCTAATTTCTTATTTACAATTTTTAAAAAAATTTTAAATAATCGAATTTTAGTAAATTGGTATTTTATTTGCAAAATAACTGCTTGTTTCAACATATAGTTGTTAGGGCTCAAATACTGTGTGTAATTCAAAATTATATCTTCTATTTTATACATTTTTTTCTTTTACTCATTTAAATATCAATGTCGTGTCACAATATTTTTAAAATTTAATACTGTCAAAATGTAATATAAAGGTTATTTGTCCTTGATTTGTCGCTAGTTTCAACTATTTTTAATGTTTTCACTTATGATGGTCAGATAGGACTGAAAACATTGTGAAATTTTTAATCCCTTTTGGATAATTTGGTTTTGCATCAGTTTTTACTTCATTGGAAGTTTTTTTTTTAACTATGTTATACAGCCAACTGAGATTTTCCTTTTAATTTATAATAATGTTTATAAATTAGGAAATAATTTTCAAAAAGGAATAACTGTATGATTGCTATAGGAAAAGTCGAAGGGTTGATAAAGCCAAAGTATCCTTCAGTAAGATCTTAGATTTTGTATTAATACATTGCTAAAAACGATTTACGCAAATATTTATGCTGTTAAAATTGTGTACAGGTCTATTATAAACTGTGGTAAATAGATATATTGAATATTTTTTTAGTCACAAGATGTACCACCGGTTTATTCATTTCTTTGGAGTTGTATACATAAGGGACATATAAGGAAGTTTTCAGAGGGAACAGTTTTCTTAACACTTTTTAATTTATCTGATTTTACAGTCTAACTCTGATATCATTACGTTTTTAATCCAAGTTGGGACAATATTCATTGGGTAATGAAGATACATTAATATTGTTTACATAGTACCCTGGCACTTATATAAAAGTGGTTTCAGTTAAATTGACTGAAACTATGCAGATATGTAGCTCTGGTCATGTTGATCAAAAGTTGTCAGTGCCTCAAGGCTCAAAAATCAATTGGTTCTGAGTTACTTCAAAGTTTTTTTTTAATATCTTTCAAAATCTTGAATTTCGGAATGTGCTGTCCCATACATTCATCATATGGCATCAATAAACATGAATATGGGATCTAAATGACATTTCTTAACGTTGCCTGTCACAAAAGTGACCACTAAATAACGTGGATATTCTAATCGGATATCCCTACATTTACTCATCTAATATCCCACTGATCCATGGGGGAAAGTCCCATTAATAACGGAACAATGCTACATAGACGTCTAGCTAATTTTGTTAAAGACTACATATGCACAGAATCTCCCAAAATACTGTGAATCTCCACAGAAGTCACAGGAGGTACTGACCAATTTGAGATCCTTAGGGAGAGCGCCCACCAAAGTGGCGTGGCAGTGGCAAGTAGCAAGTAGCACGTGTCTAGCATAATGTAACCAATCCTAACGAATGATTAGAATGAATGACGTTACTGTCATTTTGGTGTAAACTGAATCATTCGTTTTCATTGGTTACATTATGCTAGACGCGTGCTACTTGCTACTTGCCACTGCCACGCCACTTTGGTGGGCGCTCTCCCTTAGAGCTACTAGTTTTAGTTACTTAAAGCTCCTTTATAGCTTTGTTATAGCTTATTTGACAGCTTTTGAGCTCTTTGGAAGGCTCCTCCAATTGGGAGCTCTGAATGCAGAAATCATCTGGGGCTTATAGAGAAATAAAAACGAAGCGGGAACAACCATTTAGCAGCACATATCACTATGGTACGAAGTTGTAGAGTTACAGTTTGAATATATTTGTACCAAAAGTGAATTGATTTCGTACCACTACGGTTCAACTTTCTGCTATAGGAGAGCATAATAGTTCTTGGACTTGGATGCATGTGGATATTTACCTTATTTGAGAGCTTCTGTGCATATGCAGTCTCCCACAAAATTATTATTGGGACTTTCCCCGTTATTAATGGGACTTTTCCAATGAATCAGTGGGATATCCTACAAAGGATATCCCACTGATCCAGTATATACTAAATGTATGGGATGACACATTTCGAAATTCTTGATTTTGAAAAATGGCCAAATGCTGACAATTTGAAGCTCTAACTCAAAATGTATTAATTTTGGAGTCTTGGGACAATGAGAACTTTTATGGCCAAAGCTAGATCTCTGCAAAGTTTAAGCCAATTTACCCGAAACTACTTTTACATAAGATAAGTAAGTGCCGGGGTACTTCAATTTTTTATTCATGTTATAATTAAGTTTTCATTTTTAGTTTGAATATTTCTGTTTTTAAGCTTTAATTTAAATTTTTGAATTTTTTATATTGGCTCACCTCATATGTTTTAATTCTACCTAACAAATTGGAAGCTTGGGCAAATCAATTCATTTCAATTAAACATTGAAGAATGTAAGGTTATTTTACCCCAAAACAATTGAGTATTAAAACAATTTATGCAGGTTGAGGAACCACCTTTTAAAATTTCAACAAACTATTGTTATTGCAGTAATAGGCCGTGGAGGTGAACAGATAACAAGACTGCAATCTGAGACTGGTTGTAAGATACAAATGGCGCCCGATTCTCAGGGTATGTCAGACCGAATATGTTCATTGTCCGGTCCCAAAGATGCCGTAGAAAGAGCCAAACAACTCATCTCTGATATTATTCGGCAGAGGGGTGGACCTCCCGGTGTTAGCGACGATGAAATGCCATATCAAAACAACCATTCCGATTTTCAAGGTTATTTCAGCCTCTTATCATTGCATGCAGCATGCTCCAATAATTGGATTATTTAGTTTTGGAACTTGAGGGCTTTTTACAGCTAATTTAAATATTTTCCTCCTTGAGGGAGTAGGCGCAGTTACTCCCCCTTTTTAATTAATTTCTATGGTGGTCCAGTATAAGCGTAAATAACCTGTACAAAATTTTTAGTGGAAATTAATGTTTAAGCTTTTAAATACACTAATTGGTTTTTAATTTATTAGCATTAGTATCTTTGGTCTCGCTGTTGTTTTCTCGCTCGACATAATGTTTTGTCAAGAGTGTTGAAGTGGATTTTGTATTATAACTGAAACTGCAAAATATCTAAATTTACTTTAAACTATTTAACGAAATAATACTGTTTTCTTCTCTAAAAGAATGTGTACGCCACTGATGTTCCCACATCACAAATTCACCAAAAATATAATTCAAATAAGGCCAGGTTTGGTATTACCAAACCTAGTACGCAAACCTACACATTTTTTGCAGACATTTCGGCGTGGTTTTTTAATTATTACCAATCTAATGCGAAAAATGTGTTTTTTTAATTCTCTCTACTATTAAAAAGATATCTATTACTACTTAAATATAAACCTTTTTTCCGTTAAGAAATAAAAAAAGCCTCCAAAATGGCGTATTAAAAATTTTTTAAATTCATTTTTGATCCAAAAACACCTAAATAAGGCAAAATTGTTAATTGATATACCTCCTGCAACAAATAACTTACAAACTTTGTGGTTGCTCTCAAAAGGGGCTCTTGTAGTGATTAACAATCCCTTAAAATTTCAGCTTGCTTCATCAATTAATTTGAAAGTTTATTTAAATTGTTTATCTCAGATGTCATTTATTTGTAATAATTGAGATGTCCTGAGAAAAATGTATTTCTCTGAACTATCACACAAACTGTTGTACATTTAAAAACAATTATAAAACCATTACTTAATGTCAAAATAATAATTACTGTAATATTTAGAAAATATTGTAAATTTTAATCACAATCACAATTCTATTCACTGTTGACATAGTTACAATTGTTTAAAAATTCCCTAATTCTTAGGTAATTACATTATGACAGTGTATTGAAAGTTTCCTAGTCTACTATAGACGTAAACATAATAATTTTCTTATAATTGGATGCTTTTATTATAACGAACCTGTAAGGTCACTAGACTGTTCAATTCAAATTTTTATCTTGTTCTGCAAACCAAGCGTCCACAGTTTCTGTCACCTCTTTCTTAGACCAAAAATGTATGACCCTTTAGACAATTTTTTAGTTGAGGAAAGACATGATAGTCCGATGGAGCCAGATCTGATGAATAAGGTGGGTTTTTGAGTAAATCAAACCTTAAATCACTAATTGTTTGCTATTGTTGTTACGGTAACACAATATTGTCTTTACCTCTTCCCTGATATCCACTCGATATTATAACACCATTTTTTGTTATGTTGGTACACACTTGATATGAATGTATGGGAAGTTTCATGTCAATCTGTCAATTCATTCTTTGTTTACAAGCCATTTAGTATCGTGTAAAAGTACTTTTCGCCTTCAATTAGTACAGTAGAAAGACGGGTTGATGTATTTAAACGAGGTCGTATAAGCCTTGAAGATGATTCACATCAAGAATGTCCAAAAACAGCAACACCAGAAAGCTTAGAAAAAATATAGGATATCGTATTGGAAAATCCTCGAGTGACTGAAAGAGATTCAGTAGAAACCCTAGGCATCTAATTGGACAGTGTAAGCAATATTTTGACTGAAGTATTGGGTTTCAGAAAGCTGTGTTTGCAATGGGTGAACAATGGAACAAAAACACATTTAAATGTGACTTTCTCAGCAACATTTAAAGCGTTTTCGAAATGATAAAGTGGATTTTATGTGTAGATCCATCACTATGGATGAGACTTAAGTCTATCACATGATCCTGAAACAAAACAAGAAGTTAAAGAGTGGTGTAAATCTGGTTCTTTGGCTCCGAAACGAGTTCGTGTCCAGAAATCTAACAAGAAGGTATTAGCATAAGTTTTTTGAGATGCAAAAGGAATTTTATTTGTGAATTACTTGCAAACATCGTGAAAAAAGTCGCGGTTTGCTGAAGAAAAAGAAATCCCTTTTTATGAGGGCAATGCACCGTGTCACATGAGCATTTTGAGCATGTATTAAATTTCGAATTGTTCTAGGATCCACCGTATTCACCAAATTTGGCCCCTAGTGACTTCTGTTTCAATACCTAAGCAAATTCATGTGTGGAAAGTGTTTTTCATTAAATGATCAGTTCATAACAGCCGTGGTAGCATATTTTCTATCCCTTTTAGATTTTCACTTCAAGGATGAAATTCATAAATTTGGAAACTCGTTCGAACAAGTGCATTGATGTTCAGGGAGACTATACTGAATAATAAAATTTTATTGTAAAACTTATTGATCAGCCTATTAGATATTGTGATATTTGGATATGTGGATCTGGATATGAATCTATATTAAGAGTATCATTTTTCAAGCTTAGAATATTAAGTTGACGGCATTTTATTTATTGTTCTTGTAGTTCTTCACTTTTAATTTATAGTAATATTAAATGTTTTTAAGTATTTCAAAAATGATTATGCTATTTTCGTTATTGACATGTTATGAATTATATGAAACTCATAAATACGCGTTGGTATAAGGTTAATGGAATGTCAATATTTTTAAATGTTTACATACCAACATTCTTATCAATATTCATTAACTTTTTTGTTTATTTTGGCTAGATAATATGGAAGTATAATTACAAGTGATAATTATATACCAGGCGTGAAAAGAAGGTTTCAGAACATGCTTAAAAAATTATGAATCGTTTAACATGATCCGTTTCAACATCGTTTCTACTGTTAGTTCGTAGTTGTACATCTACATTTACTAAACATTTTATTCTGGAATGTTGTGTAGCGCCCCCTAGCGATTTTCCTTATGGTTTTAATCGAGTCAAATCTGTTGTTTCAAAGACAGGTTAGATTTGGGGAAAATACTACATACTAAACTGTTACGTTATCTCACGAATCTATAGACAATTTGACCACGTAGTACTCTTCACATACGATCACACTAAAATCTGAAAGTCGAAGCTAATATATCTAGATCGGCATAGTCATTCGCTTCAGCAAATTATAATCTTTATAATGGCTCTACAGCCTAAATCAAGCCTTTTCGAGACAGATAATCACATTTTTTTATTATAATAAACTTATTTTTATTAATGATATTTAGTATACCATATAATGTTTATTAAAAACTTATTATTTTTCACCTTATTGAAAATTCAAAGTACAAATTTTAAACGATAAAACAAAGAATAAATATAAAAACGCAGTTCACAACACTCTGAAGTAATAAAATAAAATAAAAATGTTTTGATCATACAGCAAGAAAAAGATTATCCAAAAAGTATCCAAAAGGTTGTACAGCAGGCATAAAACCCACAAGTAGGGTTCTAGACCACTTTGGTAACCATGCCATCAGGGGAGCTTTCTTTGACCTTAAGGTGAGCAAGAAGGGACCGACAATGAGCAGAGAGTTGTAAGGAGCGGTCGCTTATCTTTACATATTTTCTCCTTTTCCATAGAAGTGATCAACAATGGCCAGATGGTAGATAAAGAAGTGTTGAATGACGAGAATAGGCCACCATATGCGCCGAGTGCAAAACCAATCGCTTGTCTCTTGATCTCTGCATTTCCACACAATTATACAAATTATACTGAAATTACGGTCAATGACCAGAGAGTAGATGAAAAAGTGCAATAAATAATGGTCTTCAATGGCCAGAGGATTTATTCTGTGTGTTGAATGCAGAGCTCATCGCTTATCGCTTCATTTTCTTTTTGTTTGTGCAGTGTGATCGAAGTTCGTGAGTATTGGATTGCCTAGCTAAATTTTGTCTAGACTAGCATAACCTAGTCTAATTTTTATTTTGATATTTTAAATTTTATTTTAAAAATGTTCAAATGGGTACATTGTTTTTTAGAGGATGAATATGGATTTCATAAAAACGTAAAAATAACTCACAAAAGGAATAATTCTTTGGTCCATACATCTTTTTATTCCAGATTGTAAAGAGAGTGTGGGGTATTTTACCTACTTTCTTGACTCTAGCTGCTGGTAATCCTCAAGACACATCACAATTACTGATTGAGAATAGCAAAATGTCTCTGTATCTATTAGAACCTCCAAACATTTTTAAAATAAAACATCTGAAAACGTTATTTTATCTATAACTTCACGTACAAGGATAGGATAGGCAATCTGATACGCAGAAAGCTCTATCACCCGAACAAATGAAAAGAAGAAAGGATGTAGCTATAATCTATGAGCTCTGCGTCACCAATTTGAGCGATCCTGTATAATTGTGTGGAAAAGAAGAAACAAGCGATAAAACAAAAGGAGAGATAGCGATTAGTTTTGCACCCGGCATACAGGGTGACCTCTTTAGTCATTCCGTACTTCTTGAAAAAAGTGCAAGAGATTTCCTTTGATCATTTTCGATCACTTCTCTAGAAAAAAAGAGACGAAGCAACCACTCCTTACAACCCTCTGGTCATTATCGATCACGTCTTAAACTACTTGGCATTTCTTACATATCTCAAAGTCAAAGAAGTGATCTAAAGTCTCTCTTATTCTACTACTTATACACCGATGATGTTTCAGATCGTCGTGTGAAAACTACAAGGCCAAACAACACCTTTATATAGAATCCACATCAATTAAATTCAAATTTGTCTTTATGGTCTAGCTTAACTCTACTTGCTTAGTACAGCTTTTTTATTTAGTATTATTTTTATATATAATAGTATTATAAGTTGAATATAATTCGACAAGGCTAGGAACGACTTTCGAAATTTTGTCCGTCTGCCCTGAGAGCAGGCAGAGGAAATATTCGGGGAAAAAGAAATGGACGATTTCCGGGATTCTTAATAATATAATTCCGGTAATTTTTCTGCGCATC